AAGGGCAAAAGTGTCCTGTAGCCCCCCCCCCCTATATACTACTATTAAAACTATATTATAACAAAATTTAGAACAATATTTTAACTTACTAAAATAATTTTTCATTATAATACATAGCATTGAATGCATAGCAACCATTTTGAAACAAAAGCGTGATTGAAAGTTAAAGACTAGTTGAAATAGAGAATTTAAAGAATATTTTATGGGTCTGTCTAGGTTTTTCTGAGAGATAACTATTTTGTGAAAATTTAGACATAATTTTTGAAAATTAAAAATTATACTAAAAAATCAACACAAATATGTTAAAAATTTGGATTTATTGTTTCTTACTAGACAAAAATAACATTTTAAGAAAAAAGTATTTTGTGAAATAATTCTACCGTTTTACCTAAAGTTAAATTTGTGAAGGTACCGGTAAATGGTAGTAAATTTCACTTGGATAGACCCCTGTACTTTAAGTATTAAAACAAAGTTTCAATTAGCAAACCATAACTTTAATTTAAAATTTCTTTTTTCTTCTCTTGATTTTTAAAATGACAAAATAAATGTAACAGATTGTGTTTATAAATGTAGTCATTCATCAAAAAATAAATAAATATTTAATTTACATATTTTTATATTATAATATTCATTTTTAATTCTATATCAAAATAGATAAGTTAAGATAAATTTTTTTTTTTTTAAATCTATGTACTCATAGAAATTTTTTTTCACAAAATTTCTTTATAGAAAATCAGATGTCAAAGATACTGCAAACATATTATGAGAAAAAAATACCAGTCAATAACCCTACGGCTTTAAATAGAGTTTGAAAGGGAAGAATGACACTATATCAGGAAAAAAGTATCTGAATTTATTGGCCTTTTTTTTTCTTCATTTTTTTGGCAAATTAGGGTAACTTCTTTTAATATAACCTCAAGCTTCAGAAATATACATTTTCCACCAATAAAATATAATGTAGATTTCAATTCCACGCTTTTTCATTNATTGGCCTTTTTTTTGGCAAATTAGGGTAACTTCTTTTAATATAACCTCAAGCTTCAGAAATATACATTTTCCACCAATAAAATATAATGTAGATTTCAATTCCACGCTTTTTCTTTCAAAGGGTAGAGTTTTAATTAACAATATTTACATTATTTTTTGAAAAAATTCATGTTTAATAATTACTTTAATCTGTACTTTCAATCTCAAGAATCAAAAGAATTTTAAAAATGCAATTTCAAATTTGTTGGAACTTAACTCACATCAAGAATGAAAGAAATTTCGTTAACTAAAATTAATTAATGCAACAATTTATTTAAAATAAATTTTGAAACTAAGAAAAGAAAATAATAAAAGTATCAATAATTTAAAGCACTGTTTTTTTTAGCTTTTATAAACAATATATATAAAATTTTTTTTTTGATTTAAATCAATGATTTTTTTAAAAAAATCATTTGATTTAAATCACGATTTAATCAGCTTGACAAACCCTGCCTAACACCTCTTGGACATGGGTCCAGTGCCCTACCAGGCTATATTGACCTTACTTTAACCATTAACATTCAACATACTGCAGCATTAGCAATAGCACTATCCGTGGAGAAATAAGAGAAATACTTTTTAATATTTTATTGCCAAAAATTTGCAAAAAAAAAAATTATTCAATGGAGAAATTTGAAAATATATGGGTAAACAGGAACAAGATATCATTTATCAAATTTTCATTTCAAATCAAGAGCTATTTGATTTATACTTACTTTTCTCGTTCATCCCAGTCAGATGGTTTTGAATCATTCGGATCATCAATTTCAGCTTCAGGGTTTACAGGGGGGCTGGAATCAATAATCAATGTCTTTTTACTAAAGAAAACCACTAACTATATTTTTAAACTGCTAAATTAATCACTAGCATAAAACTAAATAAAAATAGATGACTTACATTTTTTTACATAGAACAATTTAATAGTAGCAGAGCATTTTAATTCATCCAAATTAACCTAACCATAAATTTATAAAGGATCTTTCAACGGTATAAAAAAATTGGAGCTTGTAGAAGCATTAAATAAATATGCAAATAATTAACTCTAATGATTTTATAATTCTCATCATTATATGGCACTTTTCCTAAAATATCTTACTTTTACCCCACAACGTAACAACATTGTAAGGAAAAAAAGATATAATAATGAAAGTAGGCTGTTTAATTATTATTCCGCAATAGATAGTATAATAAATAGGTTTCAATAGAGATATAGGAATTTAAATATGACGCCGTATACTACAGTGTTATAAGCTGACCCCTGTAATGTCACATTACACCTTCCATAAATTTGCCAACGTTTGAATGATTCCTCAAGTTTACTCTTTTGCTTATCCAACTTAAGTAGAATTTAATCTTTAAAATTGGAAGATCGATTTTATTAGTTCATATTTCAAATATATTGCTAAGAAATTGTAGTCAAGTTTCCTTTATCAGGGGTCTGTCCAGATATTTTGTGAATATAAAATAAGTGTTAAGTCACATCTTACAAACAGGGTCCTGTTATTGCAAAAATTTCTAAAAACCTTTTCAAGTTTTTAAATTGTAAATAGATACAAAATTCTGCTCAACAATTGCTGCTACTAAATTAGAGATGCAACATACAAATATTTGGTACTTACCCTATACTGCTCAACACAGAATATTCATTTTGGACGAATAATGGAAACAAAATCACTTACATTTTTAATAATTTCAATTTACACATTTTAAATAACACAACTTAGTAATGTATCACTTTTAATGTGTTACGCATTAAGTAAACTTTAACAATTTTTAAATTTATTATATTTTATTTAAAAAATTGCCAGAAAATAATTTTTTATTCACATAATATTCTATTAATTAATATTATGAATAAATATAAATTGATCAGTTATTAATTTTAAAAAAATATATAATTTAATATTAATAAGAATGCGCACACAATATTTGTAAAAATAGAAATATTTCTAAAATACTACTTTTGGAATTAAAACTTAGGGAAACTTAGTTTGTCTCAAACAGTCCCCCCCTCCCCCCCGGAAGGGTTTATCTGATTAAGAAAACAATAATGAAGATAAACAAATTTGTGAAAGGTTTGATTAAAAGAAAAATTATTTTGTGTTTTTTCAGGGATGAAAGTATCAGTTAGCAAAAAAAGCTGAATTCTACATAAATGCAATCAAACATTATGAAATTAATAAATGTATGGAGCTTAAAAAGCTTTGAAAAAAGCTGAATTCAGAGTAAAAGCTGAAAACTTTAATGCCTGGTTTTTTCTAAACAGACTCCTGTTTATTGTCCTTTTAAATTTTTTTTTTTTTACCAGGATGACCGTACTTTCAACGCTTTGTCTAAGACTTTTTTTTAACATCTCTCTATGCATGAGATTTATACTATCTACTTGCCTTTTGAGAAGACATTCTACACATCTTATTATTTTTTCATCTTAGTATTTATTCATTCTACACAGCTTATTATTTAAAGGTATTTATTCCAAAAATAATCTTAAAATCACTTAAAAAATTTATTAATATCCCAAGCCAGAAAAAGATACTTATAAAAATATAATTAGTTGAGAATAATCTTAGCAAAGTAAATAGTTGTAATAGTAATCAGAATTAAACCTATTAACACAGATAATTTTACCAGTGTGTAATTATAACATAAACAGTGAAATAATTTTTTTCAAAATGCAATATGAACTAAAAAAAGGCAGCGTTTTTAAGGGATAGGTGCAAGCAGGGAGGGCCGCCCTTTTAAAAACAGTTAGGGAGAACACTGGTATACATAGGATATACAGTAACTTAATTTCTATTTTTAACAATGAAAAATCTTTGAATTTAAATAGACAATAAAAAATATATTTAAATCTGGTTAAAAACTTACTTAAAGTCTTCAAGTAGACTTCCTTTTTGAATACTTTGCTTGTCTACAAGAACTTCAAACTTACTGTCAGGATTGATAACTGCAATAAAAAAAAGAATCTATTTAACTTTTGGTTTTGTATAAATTGTGCAAAGATGTATAATCACTGAATAACAAAGTAAAAGATCATTAATTGATGAGAACGTCATACAAAAATTATTTGTTCGAAAACATGTGACATTCACATAAGGGTTTAACTATTTTTCAAACAGTCAAAGAAAAATATCTGAAAACACTGCAACAACTCATAGGGACAACATCTAAGCGAGGTGGCGATGGATTGCATGTTTCTCATAGTTTCGCACGTTTCTATACATTACATGATTCCAAGGTCCGGAAAGCCTCACACTATTGAAGAACTTATTTTACTAGCTGTAAGTGAGATAATACTCACCGGGTTGCACAAATCAGCTTTTGACATTGTAAAAAGAACTCAACAAAGTAATAGTAATGTACAAAGAAGGATTGGCAAAATATCTCAGTGCGTAGAAAATTCCTTATGCGAGTACTTAAAAATATCTGAATTTTCTATACAGCTTGAAGAGTCCACTTATCCAGGAAACAAAGCTTTTACTTTTAGCTTATGTAAGATTCATAAAAGAATAAAAATGTTTACCAAGAATTGTTATTTGCTAAATGTTTGGAAAGCGATGCGAAAGGTGAAACGCTATTGTCTGAAATAAAAGCTATACCTTTGACTAATATCATTTCTGTAGCTACTGACGGTGCTCCGGCAATGGTAGAAAGATACTGAGGTTTTCTGGCTAACTTACCACAAACTGCAGCGAATGTATTTTCAGTACATTTGCCAAACTTAACGAAGCTAATTTGAAATTACAAGATGACCAATTAAATTTAATCAAAACTAAAATCGTAAAACTGCGTTTGTTGCAAAACTTTTTCCGTATAAACAAAACTTGGGAAGAGGATATTGTTCTCTCAGTTTCAGTGCTGTAATGAACCTCATCACAAAAGAAAATAATAAATAAATAAATGATTAGAAATTAGTGCTTAAAAACATTGAGTCGGACATAAATACACTCTTAAAATCTCATCACGTTCATCCTAGTCATTAATTTTTTTAAATTTTATTTTAAACAAAAGGTATAATTTCAATAAATACTAATAGTTCAACAATTTTTTTTTTTTAATTTGTAATTTTTATATCGTACATATATGCAGTTTTTCACTTGGGTCCATGGCAGAGTTGGCCGAAAATTTAATCGATTACATTTTTTGATTACAGTAATCAGTTACTTGTAATCATGATTACAATTTTGATTACAGTAATCAATTATTTGTAATCGTGATTACAAAGTTTGATTACAGCTGTAATCATGATTACATAGTCGATTACAGTAATCAATTACTTGTAATCATGATTACAACTTTCAAAAATTTTTGATTACAGCTGTAATCATGATTACAATTTTGATTACAGTAATCAATTACTTGTAATCATGTTTCCAAGTAATTGCAATTACAAGTAATCAAAATATATGATTACATGTAATCATGATTACAAGTAATTTGATTACATGTAATTTAATGACATGTAATTATGATTACATGTAATCTAAATACACGATTACAAGACTTATTCTTATAAATGATTATATTTTACAGTAGATAGTATAATGTATTTTATAATGATACATTTTGCACGTATTTACACGTACTGCATTTTGTATGTATTTGTATACGTACAAATGAACGTAACTAAAATGTATGTACATATGATTTTATCTAGTGCATATGTTCAGACAGCTTAGTTTCACACACATGTACATACACCTATATTGTAAGTATAAAATGTATGTACGTATGTATATAGATAATAATTACGTATGTATGTGCAAATGATGTAGACATGTACATTTATACACAATGAATATATGCATTTTATGCAAATATTTGTGTATGTAAAATGTATATATATGTTCATGTACGCATGTATATACAAGCACTTGTTGTTTGTACGAACATACATACATTGTATGTACAATGTATGTCCCATGCATGCATGTGCAATTTATTTATGAACAGTATAATATGTGTATGCATGCACAATAAAGGTATATATGTAGTATGTACAATATATGTATGTATACATGTACATGATATGCATGTCCAATGTATTTATGAACATATACACAATATGTTCATGTTCAATGTATGTATCCAAATATGCATAATACACTTGCGTACGATTGTACGTACATTGGGCGTATTTATATTTTACATATATTCATGCATACATTCGACATGCATAACGTATGTACATACACAGATTTGAGATGCATATATTGTACAGATGTATATACATATAGCGTACAGATGTATATTCATATAATGTACATATGATGAAATGAACATATAATGCTCATATAATGTGCATATGTGTGTACGTATACAGTACATATGTGCATAAATATATTGGGCCTAATTCTTTCATACATGTATACATTAATACATGTGTACATGCATGCTATCCCTATCTATGCATATGGTGCAATGTATATATGTCCAATGAATGTATCCACGCATGTACAATGCACCTATGATCCATGTATGCATATCCATATGTACTATATATGCATGTACAATACATGAATGTATGTACCTACATTGTACATGCATTACACATATACATATGCACATTACATTTATGTCTAAATATGTGTACAATGCAATAAATAAAATGCATGTTAGTTATCTTTTAATGACTCAAGCAAGTTAAATGACAAAATCAAACGATATTTAAATTTAGTTTTCAGCTTTAATTGTTCTATATCATTTTGAAATTCTTTGAATAAAAAAATATTTTCAGGTATTTTCATGAAATGTCTGACAATACAGACTTTTTTTATTTTTTTATAACATAATGCATGATTCATAGAAATTTTTTAAATGGTAAAAAAAAAAACGGTAAATTTTATGTGTGGAAATAATATTTAGAAATTTAAAGAAATTTAGAATAATTAGTCGATATTTTATCGCCAAATTTTTGAGTAAAAGCGAATGATCGAACTTTATGATTGTTGACTGCTCAGAATTTTATGAAAATATTTAATCAGGGAATGATCCTCAAGTTAAGCTCAAGGATTACGGTAATGATCTATAAAAGTTGAGGAATAAGAGAAGTATCTTTTGCCATTAGTGGATATTTTATCGCCAAATTTTTAAAAAAAATTTCTTCAACAAATACAGAAAATTTTCAGAACATACAGGTAAACAGGAGATAGCTGTAAAATACAGGAGTCTTCTTAAGAGACACACGACCTTGACAGGTATGAATATAAAACATTAAATATTTCAGAAAAAAGGAAAGAACAACTCACTCAATGTAAACAAATGAGGTTTCTTATCCTTAAAAACATCATCTAATTTCGGAACATTTGCGGTACGTTTCCAGTGCTTCTCTTCAAAGCTTCCATTTTTAGGATTACGGTGTCGAAAAATAAAATGCAACTGAAATGAGTGAATGAATATTATTACATTTAAGTCAACATATATTTTATTATCACGAAATAAAATAAGATAGGAGAAGAAAAAAACTAAACAATCAAATAATGGTAATATTGAAAGCACCATTATCAGTATGGTGACACAGAATGAATGAAAATAATCTTATAGCAGAATTTGTTATTAATAATCTAATTATTAACAATGAACTGACAAGTAAATACAGCCAATTTTTAATTCTTTGATTGAACTTTCTGGCTGAATTCTTAACCTATAATTGAATAACTCATTGGTTATTTAACAATCAAATGTAATAAAGAATTTTTTGTCCAACAATGCATTACAGTATAAAAAACCCTCCCAATTAAACTGGACACGATGGCTGGTTGATGCGAATTCCACACCTAGCTCAGACCGACCACGATGATGATGTAAAATATTCTCAGTGGTAGATGGCAAGAGTCCCCTTGCCGCCAGGAAAAATGGTGGGAGGTTTTCCTATCCATGTAATGCAAACGTGGGCTAGTTCGATCAAAAGACTTCCATGAAGGTAAATTTCACTCAATACTTGATAAAGCCCTAGCAGCAAAATAATTTGGGCTCTCATTGGACCAATATTCATGAATCTTGCCTCAATAAAGATTTAAAGCAGAGTTCGTGATTTAAGGAAAGAAAAAAAAAAGATTTTTTAAAAATTTGAATCTGATTTTTTTAAAAATTTTAATCAGATTTTTTTGCTTTTTATTCTAATACACTGGAAGAACTTTGATTTATGACTAAAAAAACTTAATAAACGTTTAATCAAAATTAAAGTAATATTAAAACTATATTATAAGAATATTTTAGAAGCTCTAACTACCTAAAACAATTTTTCATTATAATACATAGCTTTGAATGCATAGCAATCATTTTGAAACAAATGCATGATTGAAATTTAAAGTATACTTTAACTATTAAAACAAAGTTTCAATTATCAAACAATAATTTTAATTTAAAATTGTGATTTCTCTTTTTTCCTCTTGATTTTTAAAATGACAAAATGTAACAGATTATGATTCATCAAAAAATAAATATTTAAATCTAATAATATTTATATCCAATAATTATATAATTTTATATTAAAATATTAATTTTTAATCCTATATATCAAGATAGATAAGTTAAGCTTAAAAAAATTTTAAAAAAATCTATATACTCATTGAAATTTTTTCTCACATAATTTCTTTATAGAAAATCTGATGATGTCAAATATACTGTAAATATATTATGAGGAAAATATACATAAATGTTTACTTTAATCTGTACTTTCATTCTCAAGAATCAAAAGATTTTTACACATGTAATTTTAAATGTGTTGGAATATAACACATATCAGGAAAGAAAGTAATTTCGTTAGCTAAAATTAATTAATGCAGCAATAATAAATTTTAAAACTAATTTATAATTATTAAACAGCAGTTTATTTAAAACTAAGAAAAAAATAACAAAAGTATCAATAATTTTAAATTTTTTTTTTTACTTTTTAAATCATTATATATATATATATATAGATCATAAATCATTTGAAAAATCATTTGATTTAAATTACGATTTAAATCAAGCCAATTTAAATCAACAAACCCTGATTCAAAGGGTTGTTAATTTCCGATATTGGTCCTATATAGAATTGTCTGATATCTTACAGCTATTTTACAACCAATATCGGCTCGATATGGAGTTGTGACATTTACCCGATGTTTTATATCCATTATTCAGCTAATATATTGCCATATATAGGGTGATATTTGCCCTATATAAGGAGCAGTATTAAAAAAAATCTAGGCATCCCAATATTCATCCCAAGGTAGATGTTTATATAGGACCCATACTGAAGCCAAGGTAAAATTGTTGCTAGGGAGGAGTTTCCTTGTCTTCTGGATGGGGTTCAAAACTAGGAGACCACGGAATTGAACGTAGGTGGTAGGGTTTGTCGATTTAAATCTGCTTGATTTAAATCGTTTCTTTTTTTAAAAATCATTGATTTAAATCTACTGATGTTTGCTAGTTGAAGAACAGGGAAAAGAAAATAGTTAAAGAACAGGGGTCTGTCCAAGCCAAACGGTAGAAGTACCTTCACAAATTCTACTTTAGGAAAAACGGCAGTTTCATAAAATACTTTTACTTCAAATTTTATTTTTGTATCCGGTAATAAACGATAAATTTATATTTTTGTGTTGATTTTTAAATATAATTTTTAATTTTCACAAATTATGTCTAAATTTTCACAAAATATGTACCTCTCAGAAAAACCTAGACAGACCCCTGAAATATTTTTAAAATTCTCTATATAATCTAGTCTTTAAATTTCATTCATGCATTTGTTTGAAAATGGTTGCTATGCATTCAAAGCTATGTATTATAATGAAAAATTGTTTTAGGTAGTTAGAGCTTCTAAAATATTCTTATAATATAGTTTTAATATTAATTTAATTTTGATTAAACATTTAAAGTTTTTTTAGTCATACATCAAAGTTCTTACAATGTGTTTGAATAAATAAAAAAGAAAAAAAAGAAGAAAAAAAAAAAACTGATATAAATGAAAAAAATCACAAGCCCTGGCTGGTTGTCGTAAACCCAAAATTCGGTCGGTTGTTCAACGACGGTTATAAAATAAAATTAAACAGGACAAAAATTAAAATAAGATTAGAGTAAAAATACCTTATGATCATTTCCACACTTGTCAGGACCAAACATGAGTGTATAAGGGGTCTTATCATGAAATTTACGCAAATCCATGTTAGGATCTTGAGATAAGAGTTTCAAATAAGCACCACCACATTCTTGCCCATTCTGAAATCGTACTTCATACCTACAAAATGTAAGAATAATTTTCAAGCACAAATAATTATCTACAAGGACATTCTATAAATTAATGTTTTGTTTCGTTATAGACAAGGTTGGCAAGTTTCTGCCGAGGTGGTTAAAACCACTAGTAGAAACTGGTTAAAACCCTTTTTTGCCACATTTGTGGCAGAAATTCACTAAATGACATAAAAGTAAGTACTGAGATTGACATAGAATGGATAATTCATAGAAAAAACAATTAAATGATAAGCGAAGTACAATTTATTTACAAAATTATTACCATTCAAAATCAAATATTACATTGTTTGCACTCTGCAGTAATCTATAACAAAAGACAAGTTTTGATGCAGTTTCTAAACATAAACAATTTCTCAATTTGCTATGCATGAAGGAGAAATTTGAGAAGATTCTCTCGAGTCCAGCAGAACTAGCAGACATTGCCATCATATAAATATTTAATACACTGCACTTTTTATATTTAATATAAACAAAATAATATATATTTACAAAGAATGAATTAAAAAGTTTGTTACAGTTACATTTTTCAGTTTACTTAAACAAAATGTCATTAAGAAATTACTAGAAATAATATAGAAGTTTTTTTTAGCTTCTGCCGGTTATAACCAAAAGCCAACCCTGGTTAAATATGTATTTATTAGCGGCCACCGAAAATTTTTTGGTGTCATAATTTGGGATGTTAGTGAGACTACAAGTCAAAATGTGAAGGAGTTTAATATAAGGGGAAAATTTTGTGTAGGGAGTATTTTGTTTTATTAGTGTCACATTTGAATTATTGGTCTTTACATGAAATTGTAGAATTTGTTATTTTTTTGCATTCGTATCGGGTTTCTGTCATTTTTCTTTAGTGTACTTGGAGTAAAAATGAGCATGATTATTAAAACATTAAAAAAGGATGGATTAAGAATAATTCAGTTTAAATTTTGCACAGAGTGCCAAAGTCATACAGCTCAGAAATCTAATCAAAACTTATGATAGCTATAAAAGTGACAATGAGTTCGTTCATAATCTTATTCAAAACATTCCAGAGAAAAAAAAGAAACTCAAGATAGAAAAACTAAAATTTGATAAAGCTGAAACAGAGACATTTCGTGAGCCGGCTGCAGAAAGCCAAACTAAATTACAATTGGAACAGTTGAACCTTACGCAGTTGGTAAGAGAAGGGGAACTAACAAATATTCAGAAAGAATTAACGTTCAGTCAAATCTTAAAGTCAGAAAGCTTAAATCGTGAAACAGCAAGTCTAATTAAAAGTGTAAAAACTTTAACCACATGGATTCCCAATAAAGCTGAATCCTTTAGTTATTTTTTTACTATCGATTGAAAAAGTTTTCCGAAAGAAAAATGTACCAGATAATTTAAAAGCTGAAATTCTGTTACACAATTTAGGAGAAAAAAAATAGCCTGTATATTAGTCCAAATAAATGAATAAAGTAGTTTAATTAAATCCTTGAATTGAATGAAAGAAAAAATTATTAACTCATTTAAACAGATTTATTATTTTTTTTATAAATAGTAATTGCTTGCATAATCAGCAAATTAATTCTACATTAGTATAACTTAAACTAACATTAGTTCATAAATATTGGAAATATTCATGTACAGTGGAAAAAAAATTAACCACTCAGAATAACTTTTGATCTAATGATCAGATCTTCACACTCTAGGACTCTATCTTTGATGGTTCGAGGGGGAGACCTCAAATATGCTACTAAACAAGAGCAGACTATATTTTAAGTTGCAAAATCAGACACAAAAACGTACTCTCTCTAAATAAACATTCTTTTTTTAAAAAAAGTTTCGCATTTCTGACCGCAAAAATATGGGGGAAGTCACAATCTAGGAAATATGGTCCCCACAGCTTGATCAGAAAGTGCAATCCAAAGTAGAAGGAATCAGAATAAGGGATTGGTTTAAAAACAAATATACTGCAATTTTATGAAAATGTGAATTTTTTTTATAAAAATATCAGATTTTCAAATTTGATTTAAAAATTTGGAACAAATCCTAAAAATTCAGAACAGTTGACAGCTATGAAATAGATATGAATGTTAGAGAAGCTTTAACAAAATTTTAAAAGAATTCAGACCACTAAAGAATACCTTAATTGTTTTTGCTAGGCTCAGTTTAAATTTTCAAACCTTTATCATGGTGTCGGATAAATTTTTTTTGGCAAATTTGACTAAAACCCTGGCTAATGAATGCACAATTGAATTTGGTGCCAAGCCATTTTCAAGTTTTGAATAAGGGCACCAAAGTTATGCTATTAAGATGTATAAACTTAGTATTTTTAATCAAGAGTGATGAAATCAATACATACAAGGTATCTGCTAAATCTACAGCTTTTAAATCCATGACTTCTACCAATAACTTTCCATGACTTACACAGGATAATACATTATTTAATTTAGTAAAAAAAAAAACTGTTTATATGAGTAAATTTTATTCTTAAAAGTAATATTGTTTCATGGGAGCAATGCTATGCCAATTTAAACAAAAGCATTAAAAAATAACTGAACAATTAAGTAAACTGAATAACAAATAACCCATGAGTTATTAGAGCATGGATTTAAAAATATTCAATAATGCTTTAAAAGAGCATTTACAAAGTTAAAATCTTTATCAGGCAAACTCAAATATGCCATTTTCAAAAAGGTTTATTCTAGGGATTATGTAAATTTAACTTCAAAGAAACAAAAGTTTCAACATCATTCCATGCACTATCAAATTATTTTAAATATATCCAAAAAATACAAATATCCACAAACACTGATCATGATGTGTAATTTATAAATCACACGAATATGGATCGCGACGTATAAGTTTAAAATCTCGTGAATACAAACCAAAATGCGAGATTTTTAAATTGCAGGAATAGAGTAGAAAACTAAAGACAGCAATCAATGAAGTTTAATTTGTTCACTAGATAACAAATTAAACTTCACCAATCACGTGAAAGTCACTGCAGAAAAAGTAGAAGGCAGAATATCAATAATGAAAAGACTTGCAGGAGCCAAATGGGGATGCAATCAAGCAACCCTGAATACAACGTACAACACATATGCAAAACCCATCATCAAATATGGTAGTTGAGGCCTTGATTTCTGCGGCAAAGAGTAATATTGACAAACTAGAAAAGGTGCAAAATAAAGCCCTTAGGGTTATCGTTGGAGCAGTAAAAACTACCACAGCAATGCAACTGTATACTTCCAACCCTCCCACCAACATTGAAATTCAAAAGCAGGCAGTCGGAAGTTACATCAAAATGTCGACCTCACACAGAGTAGAGTGGTTTCTAAATCAGGAACCCAGTACTCTCAAAACTCAAGTTTCACCAGTAGAAATATGTCAAAATACGCTTCAAGATCTCGATGCTAACATTCCTACGGAAAGCCCATATAAAATGATTAACCCACTTGAATATGTAGACATCGAAAATAACTTGACTGTAGGGAACCTAAGGAAAAAAGACAGTATCAAGGCAGAGCAGAGGGCAACTGCGTTGCAAATGATCTGCGAAAAATACCCAGAAAGCGACTGGCTACATGTATATACCGACGGATCTCAGATACAAGATAGATCTGGTGTTCTTTGCAGACTATTTTCCCAAAGCGCCCCCGTAGGTCATTATATGACCAATTTCGATGCAGAGATCCAAGCAATTTATCTAGCATTACAGAATCTAAAAACAAGATCTAATGAGTTCTTAAGGGTGGTTCTATTGGTAGACTCCATTTCTGCAATTCAAGCAATCACAGAAAACCAATGTTTTAAAACTAAGCTGTTAAACGAAATTCAGCTCGATATAAACCTCCTCGAGGAAATGAATAAAACTATAGTCATACAGTGGATCCCTTCACATATTGGTATCGAAGGCAATGAGAACGCAGATTATCTGGCAAAAAATGGAACAACTATGCCCCAAGAAATAACAACCGTCACACCTGATACTCTTAAAAAATATGTTATGAAAAAACTCAACGAAATAAATACTTATGATTTAACTATAAAATCAAAAGGCAAAATATTCAAGACAGTTGAAAATTTCTCTGTTACCAACCACATAAGGAAGCAGTAACCCATTTTCGGCTTAAAACAGGCCACGATTGCTTATCAGAACATTTATATAACATTAAAATTCTTCCCAGCAAAGCATGCCCAATTTGTAACACAGGTGTATTAAACTCTGATCACCTCTTATTGTGTAAGGGACTAGATAGGAACTCCCAGAAAAGTGGGAATGTCACTAAATTGTATTGGGAAGCAAAAGCTCTCATGAATTGTCAATAACCTTTCCTTTTTCATGTTAATGTTTAAAATTTTATATTGTTGAAATGTTTATTGATTCAAATGTTTATTGTTCTTTTTTGTTCACTTTACCTAAATTGTTGAATTGTTTCTTTATTATTTTTCTGCTCCTTTGTGATGCAATGAGCTGTCAAATTTTCTGGATTGAATTCCTAATAAAGCCATATGAAACACGCAATCACTTTGCTTTGAGTTATTCAACAAATCTAAAAGTGATTCTACTAAATGAGTTTGTATTACTCATTCAACAAAAACTTATTTCAATAAAAAATTATATTTCTATTAGCTTAACTTTCTATGAACTACAAAAAAATCTGATAAATTGTTTTTTTCTTTACATTTTAATTCCTGAACAGAAAACCATATAAAAATTATGTTCCAAAGAAGAGACATTTAAAGTAACCTCCTTGTCAGAATATTTTATTATGTTAATATTGATATTATTAAAAATTATACAAAATTTATATTAACTAGAAATATTAAAAATGTTTTGAACAAGTAAAAATCTTTATATGCAACAAAAAAACTTCAAATGTAAAAAAATAACTCTTATAAAAACAGTTTTATACAGTATACAAGAGCACTTCTGCTTTAAACCTAACAATGGAAGCCATATAAAATTGAAAAATCTTGAAAATTCCTATTAGGAAAGAAAGTCAAGATTAAATTGAAGAGCATGATTCGAAACCTTGGATACAGTACAAGTAAGCCGCCGGATCGGCTGAGAGTAAAATATGCCCCATTTAAGTTCATTTACTTTTTAGACTAACAAAAACTTTCTAGCTGATGGGTATTTGTGGTGTGACAGTTGCCTTCCACCAGAGATGACAGGAGTACAAATCCTAGCTGAGATGATTGAATTGTATCAATAATCTCATTTTCTAAAAAGGTTGATAACTAAAGTGTTAACAATTTTCAAATTATTATTTTTTTCATTCAAATTGATTTTTTTAAAGAATTTAAATTTAAAAAATAAATAAAAAAGATACTTAATGTATTTTTTAATGAAATATATTTTGTATATAAATTTCTTTTTTTTTAAAAATTTTTTTGCAATTTTCTTTTAGATTTTAAATTACTTAACCACTACACCACAAACATATATCGACTGGAAAGTTTTTGTTAGTTAAAAAGTAAATGAAGTAAAGGAGCATGTTTTACCCTAAGAGCAGATCGGGCGGTTAATCCTTTCCCTGGTTTTCAATCACGATCTTTCATTTAAGCTTTGCTTTAAAATTATGCTTTTTTTGTTACTATATTCACACCTGCTTTATAAACCCCGGGTTCCGCTAAAAGAAGCCTGATTACTTAGGGTTCCCGTAGCCGAAAAAAATTGGGAGCTGCTGATCTTCAAAATAAGTCTAGGGGGTTGTTGAAGAATCAAACAATAATTGTTAAACCAGACTAGCATCTATCGTGCAATCTCCAGGAAAACAATAACAAATAATAAATTTAGAAAAATCAAAAACAATACTTTAAAATTGTATCTTACTGCAAGATAAAAGGCTTGTTATCAAATAGAAATGGTTTCTCCAACCTAGATGAAATGGCATGATGGCGTGCTTTTGACTAAAAAACAATATACATTTAATATTATTAGCACATAAATATCACAAAAACAAAGAACATTTGAGAAGAGATCAGGGATGTATTGAATATTCGGCCCCCATGGCAGAATTTTTTCGAGCTATCTGCGACAAAACTCTCTAGCACTAATGTCATTCTGCAAGATACTTTTAATAATAACAAACATATATGACACTAATTTAAAATAACAAAAAAGCTGTGTTTACAAAATAAAAAATTATTAATTGAATATGTAGCAATTTTTAATTCTAATATTATGGGTGATATTCTTGCATTTTGTTTGGAGGGAAAGCACAAATTATTTCCTTCTTTGCATTTTGTAAATAATCATCACAATAAAAAAATAATTGAAAATCTTAAAATACGTAATTGTCGAATCACGTGAATCGGATTCTTCAAATATTTCGTTTTGAGATTAGATTGTTGAAATAAATAATATCATATATAAAAAATATTGGATTTATAAACTATGGAGAAATCAATAGCAATAACTGCCAAAAATTTTATAGAATTATTGCCTTTAAAAGTAAGTACTCAAATGCATCATTCGAATTTTTTATATTGTTTGAAATATATCGGAATATTTAAAAAAACATGTGAAATTCAATATCAATAACTGCCGGAAATACAGATTTAAATATTACCTGTAAATTTCTGTAGAAAATAAAAGTAAAATTTTTTGCTACAAAGTTTTTTTTTTTGGACGGATTGAATGAATTTAATAAAGAGTAATCTAAAATTGTATTTTTTACTATACATTAGAAATAGTTTTTACACATATTTTTTAAATTTTAAAACTTGCAAATTTAAGTTCTGAAAGACGAACGAAAGAGCAAAATTTGAAAAATTGTAACTAGATTATTTTATACGAAGCCAAAATTTTGTATCACAGATTAAAAAAAAAAAAAAAAAAAAATTATTTAGGCAAGTAAATTCTGTTATTTTTTCAGCACTTTTAGTTTTCAGAATTGAGAATATTTCTGTTTTGCTCTATTTATTTTTTGTGTTTCGTTTCTGTGCTTTTCTGCTTTTATTATAGAGCAGTATTTTAATGCAGCGTTTTTAAGAGATTTAATTCTTTAATTGTCACATGTACAGCAAGTTTTTTTTTTGTTAACTTTTCTTTTCATCAGCATTTTCATTATGACAGCAATTTTTATCTATTCATCTTCTGCTTTTTTGTTAACTCTTCTTTTTATCAGTGCTTTTATTATGACAGCATTTTTGATAAAGAGTTTCTTATGAAGGCTATTTTTTTGTCATTTGGTTTCTTCTAAAAATACAGCAACATGAAAAAGTTAAATCAAAATTTTTAGTTAAAAATTAACAATGATTTTTGTTTTAGTTTCTTCCTAGCTTTTTTTTCAAGAAAGCATTTGTTTTTATTAATATTTTTTATTATAACACTGCATTTAAGAGTGTTTCGATTACAGGGTGCGTAGCCAAATCTTTGAATCAAAAATAAGCACTTTTTAAAAACTTTTCAAGCACTTCACAAAAATTTTAAAGCACTCTAAAAATTCATATCCAATCAATGATATTATTGAAAAACAAAAATTTTTTATAAACAGTTGTAGCGTTAAAAAAACCCCCCAAAAAAACGGGCGTAAATCGAAACAATCAGCACTTTCCCACATCACCGAGTGAATTCAACTTGACCTTGAACTCAGAACAAAAGTACCCTTACCCCCTACGTCAAAAAAAGTGTTCAAAGTAAAATAAAATAAACAAGAATAAAATTAAAATAAATTAAAAAGAAAAGCATTTCATAAGGATCTAATATTCTCTATCCGAATTGGAGCACTCGGGTTTCGATTTCAAGTGTGCGCGCATGCGCAAGTCAAACTCCCCATTTTTCGTGAAATTCATGGGATCCACCAGATATCACTAAAGGGAAGAAAAATAATTATTCGGAAAAAAAGCACTTTTTAAAAACGCCAGCTGAAAAAAGCACCTTTAAAAGCTTTTCAAAAACAAATCCCCAAAAAAGCACCTTTAAGTACTTTTTACAAACGCTACGCACCCTGGATTAGATTTCACTATTTTTTCTTCAGTTTTTCTTGAAAATACAGTAGTTGGAAAACTAAGACACTCAGTTTTAAACGTTTCATTCAAGAATTAAGATCGATTTTTATTTTTCTGTTTCGCTTTTCTATATTATTTTTATTTTTAAAGAAAAAAAAAATGATAGTGAAGCATTTTTAAAAGCGTTTCTGATAGAATATCTTAACCAAAAAAATATTATTCTAAGCATTTAAGTTTTGTTTTTAGAATTAAGGGGATTTTTTTTCTCTCTTTTTTTTAAAAAAATTATTCAATATTTTAGTTTTTTTTTAAATATCTGTTTGTCAGTTTTTTTTATTTATCTCAAATATTTTTAATAGATAACTATTATAGTTCTTTTTCCTCTTTAACCCATACCAATAATTTAGCAACGTTTTGATCACTTTTCAACAATGTCTAAAAATTTATCTATAAATAAAAAGTAATATTTACTATTGATTTTTTTTAAAAATGTTGCTATTCGACCGATTTTTTTTTGGGCCAAATATTCGATATTCTGTCAAATCACTATTGGTTAATCATCATTAAAAGAAATCATACCTTTAGCACAAGACCAAAATCTCCATTAAGACCATTTTTCTCAGCTTCTTCCACAGACCATTTGCCTAAAAATTAATTAAAGTTAATTAATCTACAGTTTGTTAATTAAGTTTGCAACATTTGATGACATAATTTTTATAAGTAAGAATTACAGTGTTACTATTGAATTCAAAGATACTATCTAACTTTTATAAAACTTAAAAGATAGTCTTTATTCTCTGAAAATTTACCTACAAGGGAAGCGTGACTCGCCAATTTTGAAATAAACTAGTGGGATATATGCCTAATGAGGAATAATTTTAGGGGGCAACATTCATTTCGGCCCACAGAAGGTCCTGTGAGAGATAAAAAATAATTAAACATATAAAAAAATCGGTATTTTATTACTTCAATGCAGACTATTAGTTATTATAATTATCTCATACTCCAATTAATTTTATGGTACTTTCACGTACTATATAATGCATATTTATTGTCAAAATTGATTACGAAAATGTTATATGTCTGTAGTGTTTCAGAAAAACCTGTTAGGTTAAAAAAAATGTACATCAAATTTTTTTTCTCCAAATTAATTGGAGTATGTAATTGCAAATTAATTAATCAATTACTGATTAATTAACCATTTAATTAAAAATTAACTGGAGTATGATACAATTACAATAACTAATAGTCTGCATTGAAGTAATAAAATATCGATTTTTCTATATATTGAATTATATTTTATCTCTCACAGGACCTTCTATGGGCCGAAACGAATGTTGCCCCCTAAAATTATTCCTCATAAGGCATACATCCTACTATTTTATTTCAAAATTGGTGAGTCACTTCCCTAGTTTCCCTTGTTAGTATCTGTATACAGAAAAAGCCGATAGATGAGATGAAAAAAATAATATAGTAAAAATAAACTGCTTTGTTTACAATTGACAGTTGAAAAGTCTAAAAATGTAAACGACTCAAGAAAAGTTATAAAAAATAACTAGTTGAATAGCTGTTCCCAGTACAGGCAAAAAAACAAAACCAGCAATTAATCAGTACTCAACAACGCTACAACATAATTAATACAGCTAAAATAAATTTAATTTTCTCATTATTATTTTTTGTTTCTGCCCATGATTATACATTATTAGATAAAGAAGAACAAGTTTTTAATAGTTCGTTCATCAAAATAAAAATTCAGTACTTTAAGACATACAGATGATGTTCAAAATTTATTAGAATTAAAGGATTTTTTTTCTTCTGTTTATTCCTTTCAAAGGCCTATAAAATACATCTGTATTAAAACTTCATAGTTTTAATAGATAATTTAACTTACATTTGTATATTTGGCTACTACATTCACATCGCTCATTGGGTTTATTTGACATACCAAATAGAAAAATAATTAAACATCTAAGAAAGTGCAATTAACTCCCTTTTTGATTAATGAGAGCTATCAAGCATTACTGACGCTATCTTTCAAATCATCTGCAATTTCATTATTATAAATTTGCACTAAGAGTAGATATTGAACAGATAACCTATAAATTAGAACATATAACAGTATGATAATAAAAGGTAGAGATGTTACAAAAGAACTCGGTAACATAATGCAACACAGTGCTACCAACGAAAATAAAATAGAAGTATTAAGGCTAACTTATAGACAAAGTTTAAAACAAGTGTATCAAAATAAAATAATTAAAAATACATACAACCAACTTTTAATCCCTTTGAGGACGACTTTCCCCACTGGTAGTAAATTGGAATTGGAATTACTATTTTCGGCAGAAACATATGCTGTATTTTGAAAAAGCTTATGGACTACCACTATAGTATTACATATTTCATTTTATCCATCTTTGAAATGCCGACCCGGTTTTGGGTTTACAACTACTAATATTCAACTCCATAGCTTTGCAGGGTTGCCACAGTAAAAAAATGAACAAAAATAGTTGCTTTTAGTAGCCTAAAGTATGAAAATAGTTGCCTGAACAGGAACAAAAATTTATCAAAAATAGTAGCCAAATAACTAAAATTATAGCTTAATTGTCAAATACTATTTATGCTCCCAATAAAAAAAAAGTTTTGTACAAATATGAAAGGTATACATATTAGAAAATAGGTACCTAAATAAAAGTCGAATTACAATAAAATATGAATGCTAATAGAAGGAAAAAACAATTAAAAATAACAAAACTGCCCCTCAGAGAGAACATATAACAAGTACTTTATTAAATCCAATGGAAATTTAAATTTTTGGCTCTTCGGACATAAATGATTGTATAAAAGTTTGCTTTCTTTTATTAACGTTCTGAAAAGTAACGTTCATTTTTGAGAAAAAACTTTGCAAAGAGTAAAAAAAATCTCCTAATAGTCGCCTATTCCTGAAAATAGTTGCTTTTTTTGCCTTTAAAGTTTGTTTTCTTTTATTAACGTTCTGAACAGTAACGTTCATTTTTGCAAAAAAACTTCGCCCAGAGTTACAAAAAGTCTCCTAATAGTCGCCTATTCCTGAAAATAGTTGGGTTTTTTTTTAAAGCCTTTTCAGGCAAAAAAAGTCGCCATAGGTCGAAAATAGTAGCATTTTAGTAGTCTGTGGCAACCCTGCCTTGTAATTTTGAACCCAATCCAGAAGATAAGGAAACTCCTGGATCAGTACCCCCAGAGGTATTGATTTGTTTAGGGAATACAGAAGACTTTGCGACTCGACAGTTTTAATGTGCATCAGTCATCATTTACTACACCAACCAGGCTATCTCAGCCTAGTATTACATATTAATATATAGAAAGCATACACTTTAAATATAGAAATAAAAATTTACGTCAAATGCGTAAAAGTTGGCAAGTATGAAAATAAAACTGGAAACAGAGCTTCTTTTTATTAAAAAAAGTTCATTTAATTGTATTTTCATTTAAATTTTAATAAAATCTGTTTAGCTTAACTAGCATTCTTAACAGATAGTTTATTAAACATTAATTTGATCAAAACTTTCAATTTTGACAACTGTTAATTTATAAAAAGGGCTGGCAAGTTTTTGACACATGACGGTTATTACCATGGTTTTTAACGTCATGTCAAAAACCCATAGTTTTGGCAAAACTGTATTTTTATTTGAGTTTAACTGCTTATAACTTAAAATTAATTTAATTTTTAGGCAATAAAATTAGAAAAAAAGTTGTTAAAAGATATTTAAGAACAGATTCATGCATTTTCCCAACATGATTATATCAAAACATACTATTTGAAGTAAACTATTAGGATACAAAACAAAATTTTCAACATTTCCAAGCATCATTTTGTTTGGCAAATTACATAGCCTGGCACGACAAGCCTGGGAAATCCTTTTTGAGTTTCCTTGCAACATTGCAATAACCTTTTGTTATCATTATCCTCAATGACAGGCTTCCCGGAACTAGACTGGTGGTCTTCCATTGAAAGAATCTTCTCGAATTTTGGACTCATCCATACTCAAAATTTGTCACTTGCTATCGTATGCTTCGGCACAGTGACTCCGACTACTGAACATGTAATTTTATTTGTAAATAAGTTTTGTTTAATGTGCTTTTCCAACTGAATAAAAGCCTTTAACTTGACAAAATAACAGTAATTCTTGACTTAGAGTTTGTTAGTAGTTACAAGTTTTGTTTAGCTTATTTCTAATATTTAAGAAATGCCAAATTTTAAATTCTTCTCTTTAGTTCTTGAATTTATTAATAGTTCCAAGCTTTATTGTTTGCTTGTTTATTTCTAACAATTAAGAAGTGCAAAATTTTGAATCCTTTGCAAATCAAGCTATAATAATAAAAGTAAGTAGCACTATTTTCAATAAGTATATTACAATATTTCTGTATGAATGTATATCCTTCTATAAGAATACATGCATATAGTTTCAAAATAAATAGCAATCATTTACGACATTCATTTATAAAGGCAATTATGTGAAAATAATATATTGTCCACTATATGCCATAAATTAAAGAAAACAGGTTTTTGACGGTTTTTACCGGTAAAAACACGGTTTTTACCACTGTCATGTCAAAAACCAGTTTTTGATGGCAAAAACCCAACCCTGTTTATAATGGTAAAGCTTTTCTGTTAGCATGTGCATGTTTGATTGAGACATTAGTCTATTGATAAGTACTTTTCGTGTGGTTTAAGTCATGTGCTTATGGTCTTAGACCAGCAGACCACCCATGGCATAAAAAATGTCCCACATCAAAATAAAATGATAACTTCATTAAAGAAATTAAAAAAAAGTCACTACTTTACCATCATATTTGGCTATTCCTGCTTCAACTCCATCTTTTTTTGCTTCTGACTGAATCCATCTATTTAAGTAAATAAAATAAAAATTATATTTTACAAATTTCTTTTAAAATTATCAATGATTTTAAAACCGTAATGAATTATAAAGACTAGAAGAAAAAAATTCCCCTTAAAAATAAAAAACTCTTTTAATATACACACAGTTATGGCATGCACACACATGAACAAAATAAAAAAAGCTGATAGCTAGTTTGGAGGAAGAATCTTATGACTGTAAATTGTTCTGCAAGCACTGATTGCTTTACAGCCTCTTGGGGGTTGCAACCTTTATCAGTGAAAGGCCACTTGCACAGGAGGTTGACTAACGAAGGGTCGCACACAGATTTAGTCATGTTGGTGGCAAATAAAATTTTTATATATACAGTGTTATAAGCACTAAATTTTTTATCAAAAAGATAAGCAGTATATTTGCTGAAAATTAAACACTTTTAATTATTAGAATTCATTCAGAAATGAAAAAACTGATACAGTATGGAACCAATTATCCGGAACGATCGGGACCATCGCTATTCTGGATAACCGATTTTTTCGGTTTTCTGAATCGCTACAAAAAGCCGTTTTTTTATTGTTAAACCCAACAACAACAAAAAAAAAAAATATTTGGAAATAATCTTAAAAATCATTAGTGTATTACGATGAAGTAATACACTAATGATTATTTCCAAAATGATGGTAAGGCAAACATCTTTCAAAAATGAAAGAAAAATCCTAAAATCTTATGAGGAAAAAAACCTTTTTGTAAAAAAAAAAAATGGCGGGAAAATTTATCGAATTTCGTTCCGGTCTTTTGGTTTTCCGGATAACAGGTTCTGTACTGCATTTATTCTAAAATGTTTTCTCTTTTTGTCAATAATTGATTTTTTTAAAAAAAAAATTAGAGAAGGGGGAGAAAATATAAATACTAACAAAAAAAAATAATACTCACACAGGGTGCGTAGCCAAATCTTTGAATCAAAAATAAGCACTTTTTAAAAACTTTTCAAGCACTATTATCACTAAGTTACAAAAGTTAAATTAAAAATAATGTAACTCTAGTGAAAAATATCAGAAAGTCTTTTTTTGAAATGATAATAATATTTGTTTTCTTGGAAAGGTGTGTCGTTTATGAAAGAGCAAAATCATTGATCTGTCTGGGTTTTTTTAAGAGGTACCTATCTTGTGAAAATTTAGACATAATTAGTGCAAATAAAAAATTATATTTAAAAAATCAACACAAAAATATGGTAAAGGAAGAAAATATTTTCAAAAATTGTCACTACAAATAAATATCATTTATGACTTATTTCTATATATTTNTTTTTCCTAAAACAAAATAAGAGCACTGAAAATTTTGAAAGTAATATAATAACACAATAATAAAATGCAATAAGTAAAAAAAAATAGTAGTAAAAGAAAAGTAATAAAGTATAAAAAAATGTTTACAAACAATTTGCAATTAGTGGATGGTCCCTCAGATAAAAATTTACTTTTAAGAAACTCAATTAATTCTATCTTTATTAATTAAATGAATAAAAGGAAGATGGAAATTTTGAGGTTTTGAAGCTTTGTGATTCTTGACTGCTCTGAGTATCAACATGAAAACATGTACTTAGTGAATGGTCCCCAAGTTAATTCCAAGATCATGGGTACTATTCTATAAATAGAATAGAGCAAGAAGGCCATTAGCTTGCCATTCACGAAGACGATAGCACTTCAATAACGATGAAATTAACAAGAGAAGTAAGATTTTCTTTTGCTATTAAAATTTGGCAATGTTTAGCTGGTCCCCGAAAATTCGTGGGAAGTCTCGGTTCTAATTCAGAGAGTGAAAAATGAAATCTGAAATTGAGAATATCTTGCAAAATGAGGCAGAGTTGCACATGAGAGTGCAAGAATCCTTCCCACTGAATCCAGAGCAACCCCCCACATGGCAGTAGCTGGGTTGCCGCAAAAGTGTGACTTGGCGATACCCAGAGGAAAATATCCCTTTTGGCACAGAGCGGCGCAATTTAAGCCTACTACTTCAATTTGGAGCATGTAGGCGCAGGTTTTCACAATTGGCACAAATCGGCGCAGCACTTGCAACACTGGCAGACCTAAATCCATGACTTTCCATGATTTTTTTCAAAAAAATAGCAGAAATCATGACATTTCATGACAAATTTTGTTCAATACTGAAATTCATGACTTTCCATGATTTTTCATGACGCTCCAGGTGCGCGGATACCCTGTTTCAAGCACTCAAAAAATTCATATTCAATCAATGTTATTATTGAAAAACAAAAACTTTTTATAAACAGTTTTAGCATTAAAAAAAAAACCAAAAAGAAACGGGCGTAAATCGAAACAATCAGTACTTTCCCACATCACCGAGTGAATTCAACTTGACCCTGAACTCAGAACAAAAGTACCCTTACCCCCTACGTCAAAAAAAGTGTTAGAAGTAAAATAAAATAAACAAGAACAAAATTAAAATAAATTTAAAAGAAAAACATTTCATAAGGATCTGATACTCTCTAGAGTTTCGGTCTCAAGTGTGCGCGCATGCACAAGTCATAACGTGGGTATGACATGAAGTCCGCGTGAATGATTACGTAGCATACTCCCCATTTTTTGTGAAATGCATGGGATTCACCAGATACCACTGAAGGGAAGAAAAAAAATTATTCGGAAAAAAAGCACTTTTTAAAAACGCCAGCTGAAAAAAGCACCTTTAAAAGCTTTTAAAAACAATATCCACAAAAAAGCACCTTTAAGTACTTTTTACAAACGCTACGCACCCTGTCACATAATAAAAGTGTAAAAAAATACATACGTACCTTAATTAAAGTATATTCACAGGGTTTAAACAAAACCATTATAGTACAAAATAGGATTCTATATTTATTTGGTATTGAATCTTATCAGATATTACTTATATTTCTTGAATTTTAAGAGATTTCATGAAATTTAAATGAGAAAAGTTTTTTCCTTCTTCCAAAAAACATCACCAAAGTATCGAAAAATTTATAACAAAATACGTTACAAACAGTGAGTGGTTTTAAAATCCATGTTTTCCTCCCCTAATTCAATTTTTCAGGTTGCAATAACATTGTATTATTTGCCACTTACAAATGCACAACACTAAATGAAGAAAAAAAATGCCCTGTGACAAAATTGCACAAATAAATAGTATCTGAAAGTGATTATTTAAATGCGTGATTAGAAACTCACGTGTTGTAATAACATTGTTGTTAAAGTAACAGAATCTTCTAAAATCACATGGGAAAGCATCGCAAGAATTGGGAAAAAGGCTTATTTACGATGAAATCAACAAAAAATGCATCAATAAGTAATTATTTAAATGTATGATTTAAAATACGCATCTCCTTATAAAATTCGGAATTTTTAAAACCATGCGAAAAGGCACTCTAAAAACTGTTGAAAAATAACTCGGACCTAGGATGAAAATAAAATGCATCAAAAAGTGGGTATTTAAAAGTGCAATTTAATAATATTATTGTAGTAAAAATACAGGATTTTCAAAATCACATAGAAAAGTGTAACAATAGCTGCCCTAAAAAAAGAATGAAAATTATGATAAATTTAGATTTACGATAAAATTGGCACAGATAAAGCGTGTCAAAAAGTGATCAATTAAATGCACGATTTATAGCTTACTAAATTTTAAAAAGCACATTGAAGTAGGTGGAAAAAAAACCCCATCGAATAGTTACTTGGATTACAGATGAAATCGGGAAAATAAAGATATTCGAAAAGTTATTATTCCAATTCAAACTTTGAGCATCGTAATATCGTATTAAAAACATCAGATTCTTAAAAACCATGCGAAATTTCATAGCAATAATAACTGAAAAGTTATCAAGAAACAACATAGATTTACAATAGAATCTGTGCAAATTGACCAAACAAAAAGTGATAACTCAAATGTGCAATTTAAAATTTTCCTGTTTTTTTATTTAAAAAAAATTTATTATTGTGTTCGAAAGCTATTGTAGGCCACAGGTCGTGCATTCCTGGTATTAAGATGTATAAACTAAATATTAGTATTTTAACAGGCATAAACAAAATCCCTGTGGCAGAATCGCAGCGACATTGTCTCAGAATGTTACAGAGCTCTTGCAGAGAGATTTGTCTTTTGAAAAGCAAACAAACAAAAAAATTACTTTTCTTCAGAAATTTACACGTAATATATGAATAATGCATTTAGATAATCACTTTTTGACATGCTTAATTTATGCCGAGAGTAATGTAATGTTTCGATTGTATTTTCGGCAGTTATTGATATCAGGTATGAGATTGGCCAAAAGGCAAAAAAGCTGAATTTTAACGCGAGTAAATCTTATGTGATTTATAGCAAAATTATCAGTAACATATTCTCATCCAGTTTCGCTGATGTTGTAATGCTTATATATATATACCAATAATCGTTGATAGAAAAACTGCCTTATAGTAACTAATTCAAGGAAAAAAACTTACTTCTTACAAGAATCACAATGAAGGACTTTAATATCAAGAGAATACAAATAGCGATCTTGGATTTTAAAATCGCGTAAATACGAATCACGATGCATAATTTCTGAATCGCGTGAATACGAATCTAAAGCCAAATTTTTAAATCACGTGTAAATATGAAAATCGATGTTTGATGTTACAACCGCAAAAACGAATCACGACATTGGATTTTAAACTCGCGTGAATACGAAGAACTACATAGATTTTAATAAAAGTGTAAATACGTATCGCGATAATGGACTTTTAAATCTCGTAAAGAAGAATTGCAATGTACGATATTGAAATCACGTGAATAAGAATCACAATGCGCAACTTTTAAATCAGCTTAATACGAAAATCTATGCGTGATATTAAAATGCAGCGACGTCTGGATTAAGAAAATACGAGCTATCAAGCGGAAGGGCAAAAAAGCTGAAAATCTTGTTGTCCGCGCGTAAAAGTGGAGAAAACCACTAAAATAAGTAAAAATGTGGAAGGGTTGGCAGCTACGTAGTTTGAATTTGGTGTTTATCTTTGAAAATCAGAAATAAATAATTATTTTATTTCAGCGACTAAATTTTCAGAAAAAGCGGAATTTTTTATTTAAAAAAAAAAAAAAACCCGAAAAATTTAGAGAATCCGAGTTTTTGGATAAAAAGGCTGAAATTCGAGAGACAAACGTGAAAAAAAACGGAAATCCTCTAAAAAGCGGAAAAATCTCATCCCTGTGATATTGATTTTCACATGGATATTATATTTCCAGATACATTTCAAACAATATGAAGAAGTCAAAACATGCATTTGAGCATTTACTTTCTAAGGCAATAATTCTATCGAATTTTTGGCAGTTATTGCATTTGATTCCTCTATAGTTTTTAAATTCAAAACTTTTATACAATATTATTTATCACAACAACCTAATCTTGAAACAAAACATGCATTTGAGGAGTCCAATTCGTGTGATTCCATCGATCTTTTTTTCCGCAATTACTACTGAAATCTAATTTTGTTTATTGTGATGATAATTAATAAGATGCGAAGAAGGAATAATTTGCGCACTTGCCCCCTCCCAACAAAATGCGAGAATAACACCCATAATATTAAAATAAAAAATTAGACATGTAAAAATTATTACATGTTCAATTAAAAAAAATTATATCGTTTTAATTCTTTTTGTAAACAGCGCTTGAGTAACATACACGTTTGTCAATATCAGGGTTGGCAAATTTCTGACACATGACGGTTTTTACTGTCATGTCAAAAACCCATAGTTTTGGTAATGAAAAATGTGCAAAATTAGTCACTTACATTCGTATGTTTCGGCACAGTGACCCCGACTACAGAACATGTAATTTTATTTGTAATTAAGTTTTGTTTAATGTGCTTTTTCAACTGAATGAAAGTTTTTAACTTAACAAAAAGGCAGGAATTCTTGACTTAGAGTTTGTTAGTAGTTACAAGTTTTGAAAGTTTTGTTTAGCTCATTTCTAATATTTAAGAAATGCCAAATTTTAAATTCTTTTTACTCCCTGAATTTATTAATGGTTCCAAGCTTTTTTGTTCGTTTGTTTATTTCTAACAATTAAGAAGTGCAAAAATTTTGAATCCTTTGCAAATCAAGCTATAATGATAAAAGTAAGTATCGCTATTTTCAATAAGTATATTATAATATTTCTGTATGAAAGTATATCCTTCTATAAGAATGCATGCATATAGTTGCAAAATTAATAGCAATCATTTTCAACATTAGTTACAAGTTTTGAAAGTTTTGTTTAGCTTATTTCTAATATTTAAGAAATGCCAAATTTTAAATTCATTTTACTCTCTGAATTTATGAATAGTTCCAAGCTTTTTTGTTCGTTTGTTTATTTCTAACAATTAAGAAGTGCAAAAATTTTGAATCCTTTGCAAATCAAGCTATAATGATAAAAGTAAGCATCGCTATTTTCAATAAGTATATTACAATATTTCTGTATGAAAGTATATCCTTCTATAAGAATGCATGCATATAGTTGCAAAATTAATAGCAATCATTTTCAACATTCGTTTATAAAGGCAATTATGTGAAAATAATATCTTGTCCGCTATATGCCATAAATTAAAGAAAATAGTAGGTTTTTGACAGTTTTTACCGGTAAAAACACTGTTTTTACCACTGTCATGTCAGAAACTAGTTTTTGACGGCAAAAACCCAACCCTGGTTAATATTAAAAGCATCTTGCAGAAACATATCGGTTCTAGAGAGTTTTGTCGCAGATAGCTCGAAAGAATTCTGTCACGGGGAACAAAATTAAATACACTTGCAAGTTAGGTTTATAGCTTACTTTTTATCATAGTCTTCACGGTGATCAAAATGTTCAGCTATATAGGCATTACCAATGGGATGAGGTGTTACATAAGGTATCTCTTCTATCTCAACTTCAGGTTCCTATAAATTTATCCATGAAAATAAATCACATTAGAAGTTAAACATTTTCAATATATCTAATAGCAAAAGTTCGTCATTCATTTATATACCAGGGTTCATATTGAGATCAGAAAAAGAAATCCAAGGAGTCCAAAAACTTATCAAAAATTTAAAAACTTTGCGTAAAAGATAACTAGACAGTTTTTATTTTATTTTATATATAATTAAGAAGCAGTTATTAAAAGAAATTGCGAAAATGTATATTTTGCGTAATTTTTTCTAGCCTTTTTGAAATAAATTTTGACTTTGTCAAACTTCATCCAGAAAAATAAAGTTATCCCTTTTACGAATAAATACATTTTCCAGTTTCAAATATTTTAACAAATCTTGTTGAAGTACAGATGTTAAAGATTAACATAAAAACCTACCAATCTTATATTTTAAAATTTGAATACATAAGAAAATCTAAGGCATTTTATACGAAGAAGAAAAAAATCACAGTAAATGATCAATTAAGTTTGCTTGTAACATGCAAAATTAAAATTATTTGCTGCACTTTTTTTCTTCTGGCTGTTGCAATGTAATTTTTTTTCTTTCTTTTAAAGTTTTCTTAAGCTATTAGATTTTGACAGATAAGTCATAACAATAAGTCATACAATAATCTAAGGAGCTTTTAAGGACTAATTGGGAAATCTAAGTAGTTCCAAGTACTCCGTGGAGACTTTTTATTTCCAAGGAGTTTTTAAGGAGTATAAGGAGTCTGTACGCACCCTGATATACGTATTTACTTTCATAATAAATAAATAAAGAATCTGATTCATTCTAAGATACTTTAAAATCTAAAGTTAATAATTAGTTAAAATTCTATCAAATTAAAAAAATCAATTTCACGTATTTGGAAATTAAAAAATAGTGTTGCCTCATATCTTCATTGTAGTATGTCAAATATTCCTATGTAGAATAACTCTCGACTATCCTCGTAATTAAAAAATAGTAATTCTTTAAGAAAAGACAATCTCATAAATTGAGATAGACTAAAATAAATTGTGGTTTTGAAGAATGTTTTAAAACTAGGGATTAGTAGCTACTAATAATAAAATAATAATAAGGCAATTTAATGAGTTGGCACCAAGAACTGATGGAATTTTACTAATTAGTGAATTGTATAAAACAGGGGTGATTGTGAGCCCAACTCAGAAATCCTGAAAATTTCTTGAAAATCATTAATGACGCATTTAAAAAAATTAATGTCTTAATAAATTTAAACCATTGATATTTTCACAACATGCTATTTTAAATAAATTTTATGTAGAATAATTTAAATGAATAATTATGTATTAGTTTACTTTTATCTCTAATCACATTTATTTTTCTACCAGAAAAATATTTACAAATGAAAGAGAAATATTTACAAATGAAAGATAATATTTCTAAAAAATGAAATATACAAGAATTTTTATTATACATAAATGTGATTCATGATTTTCCTCTGGATCTCTGACTTCCGGATCACGGTTTACGAAAAATCCGGATTTTTGTCCGGAGCACAATCATTCATCTCTGATAAAAATGAAGTACTACTATACCTACTTATCCAAACTGTCTACCTACTTATCCAAACTCTAAAAACTGGCAACTTTTTAAATATCTTTCAAAAACTGCTGATTGTGCCTGCATAATTTTGTGAGAAAAAATAGAGAATCTAAAATATTGCACCCTTTATAGTAAAGGATTAAACACAGTTTTAGAATATTCTCTGTCCGCACCCATTCGATAGTTCAGTTCAAATGACAGAGAAAGGGCCTCTCAAGTTCTGTAAAATCTAATAAATAATCTAGGTACCAAATCTGAAATCACAATCTTTTACACACAACATTCCCCCTTTACTGGTAAAAATTAATAAAATTACCAAAATTTTAGGTTTTTATATAAATACTTTTTTTTACTAGTTAAAAAAACAGTGCAAAATTGTAGTTGAAATTTTTTTTTTTTTTTTTTGACAAATCCACAAACCTTAAAGTTTATTAATCAGGGAAATATTGCAACCACAAAATTGCCCTCATTTGATCAAGATCTGACAAAAAAAAAATTTTTTTTTACAAAAAAGATTTAAGAATCTCTGGTACTTTTTGGTTAACCAAGTGAAAAGATTATGCAAGTAAAAATTCACAAAAAAAAAAAAAAAAAATCCAAACTTTTTATTTTATTTTTCTAAGCACATAATAGTTAAGTAAAAAAAAAGAAACAAAAAAGAGTTGAACTTTCTTGCAAACGGTTAATCAAAAAGTACCCAAATTCGTTCTGCATAGAGGAGTTTAATTTGAAAAATACTTTTTCAGTTTCAACGGCATCAATAACTTCCTCTCCAATATCTGGCATATCATCAACATCATGAAGGTCACCTTCAGCCACAATTACAGCAATTAATAAGATGAGGGGACTAAACTTCAAAAGCATCTTGATCTGAAGAGAAAAAGGAAATCAATGAAGTTTCTTCCACAGTAGAAGAAATAGAAGAAACTCTTTTTCAAAAAGAAATATCAAAGCAATTTTTAAATATTTTATACCTATTTTAAATAGTAGTATTTATTTTCTACAGAGCTCATTCTAGGCAGAAAAAAAGGCAGGGTGCAAAAGTTTTAAAAAAAAGGGCATTATTATCAGTGTTTTCATTACAGAAAAAAAATTGGAGAGAATTTCTCACCCTTTCTCCAAAACAAGGTGAGATTTCAGAAAGTTAAGTGAGATTTCTAAAAATTAAAAAAACATGAATAAACATGGAAAAAATTTTTCTCTTTAATTATAATACATTTTTAACTTCTAATTGAATATTTTTGCTGCATCATATGGAAAATGTTCTATATCTACTTTTTCATCAGCTATTATATTTATTTGGCTAAAAAATATCCGGATTTGTTTCGTTTGGACCGTTTCTACCAACATTTGTTTCATTTTCATTTGTCCATTACGAAGTAGAAGATGTCGCCATAACAAGGTATTTGTCCCAGGGTTGGGGTTTTGGACAGGACATGTGGGTTTTACTGTCTTAAACTGGGTAAAACCGTCCTAAACTGGGTAAAACTGTCCCAAACTGGGTAAAACTGTCCTAAACTGTCTTAAAGTGTCCAAAACCTTGAACTTTGGAAAAAGGTAAAAATTCTATAGGTGTAACCATTGCACACATAATAATTACATGTATCAATAAATATTTGATATTTTTTATACAATTTACTATAATTAAAAGAAAATAATATAATATAATAGTTTTTAAGATAATAGTACTAAAAAAAAAAGACTCCCATTGCTCTCTTTATTTCGAAAAGTAACCCAAGTATAAAAAAAGCAAGGGTGATTGACATCAAGTAAAGAATTAGTGTTGCATAAAAATGCAGATTTTAATTTTACATAAGGCCTATTTTAAGTTGGGTATATAACCTCTGAATAATATTCAAACAACATTTCAAACAATCTAGACAAAAATAAAAACAGAGTACACTTAAACTTATTTATAACAAATGTACAGTTGAGGTAAAGAAAATAGAAAACATACCAATTAAAATTATTAAAGATTTTTATTTATAAAAAACTTATAAGTCTTATATATGTAAAGAACAATGCTATCATTAAGAGATATACTAAATAGATTTCGAATGTTTGGTAAAATATCATTAAAAAAAGAACCAAATTAAGTCCCTGAAAATCAAACTTTAATAAAACAAAATGTTAATGTTGTGATGATATTAATATGCAGATGTAACCAACATTAAAAAAAATATCAGAAAAAAAGAAAATCCAAGATCATTTATAAAAAGTAAAGCAGATCATATCAGTGAATAAAGAAAAACATATCAAAACTTGGAAAAAGTATGCTCAGTTAATAAATATGAGTGGTTAGGACGAGAAGTTCAACACGAAAATAGGGCTGTTCTCGCGAGTTTCTGATATTTTTCAAGGATTTAGCATTTTCAAGTACTTCAAAGGACTCTTGAAAATCAAAATGAAATTAAAGTATTCTTCAAGGTTTTTTCAAGGCCACAGGAACTAATGATGTAACAAATAGTGATTGGGCCGAATATTCGGCCAAATTTTAGGAAGAATACCGAATATTCGGTGGCCGAATACTTACTTTTTAAAAATTTCTCTTTTGATTGTAATTTTGTAATTAAAGCAATTTTCAAATTTTAAATTAAAAATGAAATAAATATTAACAAAATTGCTTTTTTAATCTTTGTATATTTAAAATATTTTTAACTTGATTTATTTTTTGTAATAATTTAAATATCTTGATGCCAATAACAAGGCAATATGGCTTTTATAAATCTAAATAATTAATAATAGCATATTTTAGTTATAGTTATACTTGTAATTTATATGCTATTTTATTTAATATAAGAACTCATTACTACTGTTAACTGTATTCTTAACTTTCTTTTTTGTGAGAAAAATTATTAAAACCCAGAAAACTAAGAACTTTTTAAAAAGTTTCACTTTTGAAATTTTAATTTTGTAATTAAATAATTTTCAAATTAAAAATGAAATAAATATTAACAAATTTGCTTTTATGAACTTTCTATATTTTAAAAAAAATTTAACAACTTGATAACAAATTTGTAACAAGAAATTGTTTTTATTTATGTAACATTATTAAATACACTTATGTATTATACAACTTAAATTGAGTAAATGTTAGATTTTCTAAAAATTAATGCAGTGAAATGTAACTCTGCAATATTCATGATTAAATATATTTAAAAGCACATTTAAAAAAATATCTTTCCTTATTATTATGAATTTATTCAGCCAAATATCTAATAATATTCATATTCAGCCGAATAACTTCAGTATTCGGCTACGCCGAATATTCGGCAAAAGGGCTGAATACCGAATATTCGTTACATCCCTAACAGGAACCCAGATAACTTAAGAATACTTTCATAAAAAAATAAATTTCGTTGCTCCAAATACTTTTTAAGCTCTTCTGAGCAAGCTGAAGGACGTAAAATGCTCAAAAAGTTGTTTCTTAAAAAATTATAACTGAGTTGCTTACCTCTGAAAAAAAAAATGAAAAGAAAACTTCATTCAAAACGGAAATTCTGCCACGGGGAAACAATGTTAAAATCACGCATTTGCATAATATGTGGCAAAAATCTCATTTTCCAATAGTAAAAATTAAGCACTTTTTAAAAACTCCCAATAAAAAAAGTCCCTTTAAGGGCTTTTAAAGAACAAAAATAAAAAATAAGCACCTTAAAGCACATTTTAAAAAGGCTACACACCATGTTAATATTTGTTTTTTAGTTTAGGGTTCTCAAAAAGATATTAGAAAGATAAACCTGTAATCCTTGTTATGTTACATATACAAATGGTAACTGAATAAATCTTCAATACTAGTTAAGTAAATGTTAGGGGATATTTTCTTATTGTGATCTGTAGCACATACAATCGCCAAGGTACCAAATAGATTTTTAACTTGCAAATTAAAAAAAAAAAACCCATGTAGATATTTGCCCAAAGGTTGCTACAACTTATGCCTTTTGAGTTGGTACCTTTCTGTGTTTATTTTTTATAGTTTCTCTTGTAATTGCCCAGAAGTTGCCAAGACTTAGCGATTATTTTGCCAGAGATTTACAAGCTTGCACTATTTATAAGCAGGAAATTTCTTAATCCGAAGATCAGAAATTCTGATTTTTGATTTAGATACTGAGATAATTATTCTGTTAAGATTTATGGTTAAACATACATCATGAGTTGTCTCAAACTGAGAGAAACAAAAAAAAAAACAACAAAAAAAAATTTTTCATCAGTAATTTTGTATGTAAAAAATATCTAAAACTTTTCTGAAACAAAAATATACAAGACAATTTATAATAGGTAAAAAGGTAAGTTCAAAAGAAAGTAGGCAAAAAATTCTGTCTGAAAATTCATTTTTAAAAATCTTTTAATAAAAAAGAGGTTTAAAAAACCTTTAAAGAAAAAATAAAATTTCAGTACATTTTATAATGCTAAAAATCATTTGATTTGTTGATGCTTTCAGACAATTTTCAGAAAATGTGTGTGGCCAAGTTAGCCGAGAATTTTTCTTACACCAAAAACACTATTTAATGTATGAAATTAAGGATAAAATATTTGAAGTAATAAAAGTAAAGATCAAACTATGCACTAGAAAATAAAGTATCAAAATATTTTTCGATGAGGTCTTATTATGACACATAAATTATTTTAAATATTAAGTAGTTCTATAGATTCTGTAATGAAAAGAGAGAATAATTAAGCAGCACTAAAAATTGCGACAAAAAATTAGAGATAAAGTTTCTGATTGATGGGAAATGTTCGATACGATTAGGTTTAGAATTGCGAAGAAATTAATAGTCAGCAATTTGGTAATAACAATAATACTTAGATACCGGTAAATTAGCCGAAGAAGTAAATAAAAATAAAATAAGAAAAATGATTTGTGAAATACAAAAGTAAATACAAAGACAAATTAAACATGACATACCAACTAGACTTTGACTTAAGTGTAGTTCTTAAGTTCTCTAATTAAATTTTCAATAAAGCTTCCGTTCTAATCACAAACGACCAATCATCACAAAGAACGTTTCGAGAACATATATATATTTCTTAACAACTAAAACTTGTTTAATCCCAAGAAAAATTCCTGAAATATTAATAAAAATTAAAATGCGTCTTAAATCAGATTAAATAATAATGAAATTTTTATAGTGTGTTAGTCAAAATTTGATGAAAAACATAGAAGTACATAAAATCGCATAGCTCCACTGCCATAAGTACAATATAAATCTTCCGGCTCGTCGGTAAGGGCCTGAAAAGATCGTCAATTTTCGAGTTTAATCGGTAGAGGGACTTTACGAACGATCTGGAACAGCTGTGTTCTACTTTTGAATATGGTTTTATTTGTAGTTCCAAATAAGTTTCTTTCATATTTTTAGAAATTAATAATCTTAAATTCCTGCATTTTTATTGCCAGGAATTTTGTGCAATTATTATCTGTTCCACTACACGGCATTCCAGAGACCGCTCCTTATTTCGAGTAAACTTTTAAGAAGTTTATGGTTTATTGGTTCACGGTTGTTAATCGTTTAACTGTTGGTTTTATGGTTGTTCAGCTTGGCTACCAAGCTTTTTCATTTCTCTTTAACCTTCAGTAAGAGTCAAACCGAAATATTTTGCACCTGAGGCCGTTTTTTGCAAAAGTAATAATTCAAATACTGTAATAATTATTTCGCACTACAGCTGGTTGCACAATGAGCTATTGACGACGATCTGGGAAGCATCTCTGAGGATGATCCGAAGACATGCCATCCCAATTTTGACCCTCTGTAGAGGGGATGCCACCCCTGCTTCGGTAGCCCAACGGCCTGCACGCGAAGTCAAGCACTTTAAGGTAGAACAGCTTAACAAGGATCAATACCGCACACCCTCGGTCCCTAGGCAGGCTGATCCAAGTGGTCACCCACCCTCACACTGATCGTAGCCAGTGATGCTTGACTTCGGTGATCTGCTGGGAACCGTGTACACGGCTCCCAGCAGATCACCAAAGGTCGTTAAGACGTCTTAACGACCAGTCCACTGCGGGACATAACAATTTGAATTTTACAGCTTAAATGAACTAAATTAACCTTTACTAAAAACTCGCATCATTTTAATTTTTACTTTTGCCAACTACATTTATCACTGTATAAATATCTCCAAACAGGAATTTTGTTTCGATCTTAAAAAATAAATACCGGGGTCATTTGTTATTTATCATAAACAAATTGTAACACTAAAATGAAAAATTATTCGATTAAATGATCTCAAAATTTTAAATTATATTCAGACCGATCCAGTTTCCGATTATATCATTTAACTTATAATTTAACTCGGAACTTGATCCACAAAGGAAATAATTATAGACCTCATGGGGCAGGGGTGGCGAACCTTAATGCACCAACGTGCCATTTTTTCAAAAAATAGTTTGATGCAGTGATAGATGTGCCGTCAAATAATTTTGATTTCGTGATTATTGAGAAAATAATAATACTAAATACTATCAATTCAAAACTCTTTATTTACTATGTAAAAAAAAAACCCGTCCCCGTTTCAAAGCATTTTAGAAGACGAATTTCCGCAAAATAAAGCTTCTAAGAACACTGTTTTAGATATACATACATAGTTTGGACCATAGACCCCTACTTAGAGTCCGAGTTTGAAAATTATAACTTAATATTAAAGGGAGTAAGACGGCATCGAAATTTGAACTCCACCCCGACATTTTATTTTATTTATTATATTTTTATTTTTATACCATTATGCGCTCTTCAACAAAGAAGGATGCACGATTCTACTCATAGAACACCTTATCCATGATAAACTCTCGATTATATTGTAAAAATAATTTAAAACAATGGTAATAAGCCAATTTTCCTGGATTTTTTCAGTTTTTACCCATTATTCGCCATTTTACCAATTAAAAACAACTATTTCCTATATGAGGGATCCTCTAAAATATAGAAAAACACATTGAAAAAATAATATAATGCAAAATAGGCTAAAGAAGAAAAAAAAGAATTTTTTTTGAAAAGTTGATAAAGCAGGGATTCGAACCTGCGCCTCCTCTCCCCAGCCATCAGTTACTACTCCGGTGTCTTGACCACCAGAACACTCGAACACTAGAAGTCAGTCAAGATTTCGCTTCAAAAGCCCTCTCACTGTCAGCTATGCAATAGAACTTCGAGGGCCCCCCTGCACCTCCAAATTACCCTATAAAAATTTCCTGCAACCGATATGTTTGGACCATAGACCCCTACTTAAAGTCCGAGTTTGAAAATTATAACTTAATATTAAGGGGAGTCAGACGGCTTCTAAATTTGAACTCCACCCCGACATTTTATTTTATTTATTATATTTTTATAATTATACCATTATGCGCTCTTTAACAAAGAAGAATGCACGATTCTAATCATAGAGCACCTTATCCATGATAAACTCTCGATTATAATGAAAAAATAATTTAAAACAATGGTCATAAGCCAATTTTCCTGGTTTTTTCCAGTTTTTACCCGTTATTCGCCATTTTACCAATTAAAAAAAACTATTTCCTATATGTAGGATCCTCTAAAATATAGAAAAACACATTGAAAAAATAATATAATGCAAAATAGGCTAAAGAAAGAAAAAAGAATTTTTTTTGAAAAGTTGATAAAGCAGGGATTCGTACCTGCGCCTCCTCTCCCCAGCCGTCAGTTACTACTCCGGTGTCTTGACCACCAGACCACTCGAACAGTAGAAGTCAGAAGAAGAAAAAGAATTTTTTTCGAAAAGTTGATAAAGCAGGGATTCGAACCTGCGCCTCCTCTCCTCAGCCGTTAGTTACTACTCCGGTGTCTTGACCAACAGACCACTCGAACACTAGAAGTCAGTCACGATATCGCTTCAAAAGCCCTCTCACTGTCAGCTATGCAATAGAACTTCGAGCTCCCCCCAGCACCCCCTAATTACCCTATAAAAATTTCCTGCAACAGATATGTTTGGACCATAGATCCCTACTTAGAATCCGAGTTTGAAAATTATAACTTAATATTAAAGGGAGTTAGACGGCTTCGAAATTTGAACTCCACCCCGACATTTTATTTTATTTATTATAGTTTTTTTATTATTCAATTATGCGTTATTTAACAAAGAAAGATGCACAATTTTACTCATAGAACACCTTACGCTTGAGAAACTGTCGAATATATTGCAAAAATAATTTAAAACATTGGAAATAAGCCAATTTTCCTGGATTTTTCCAGTTTTTACCCATTATTCGCCATTTTACCAATTATAAACAACTATTTCCTATACGTGGGATCCTCTAAAATATAGAAAAACACATGGAAAAAATAATATAATGCAAAATAGACTAAAGAAAAAAAAAAGAATTTTTTTTGAAAAGTTGATAAAGCAGGGATTCGAACCTGCGCCTCCTCTCCCCAGCCGTCAGTTACTACTCCGGTGTCTTGACCACCAGTCCACTCGAACACTAGACGTCAATCACGATATCGCTTCAAAAGCGCTCTCACTGTCAGCTATGCAATAGAATTTCGAGGGCCCCCCTGCACCCCCTAATTACCCTATAAAAATTTCCTGCAACAGATATGTTATGACTATAGATCCCTACTTAGAGTCCGAGTTTGAAAATTATAACTTAATATTAAAGGGAGTTAGACGGCTTCGAAATTTGAACTCCACCCCGACATTTTATTTTATTTATTATAGTTTTTTTATAATTCCATTATAAGTTCTTTAACAAAGAAAGATGCACAATTTTACTCATAGAACACCTTACGCTTGAAAAACTGTCGAATATATTGTAAAAATAATTTAAAACATTGGAACTAAGCCAATTTTCCTGGATTTTTCCAGTTTTTACCCATTATTCGCCATTTTACCAATTAAAAACGACTATTTCCTATATGTGGGATCCTCTAAAATATAGAAAAACACATTGAAAAAATAATATAATGCAAAATAGGCTAAAGAAAACGAAAAGAATTTTTTTGAAAAGTTGATAAAGCAGGGATTCTAACCTGCGCCTCCTCTCCCCTGCCGTCAGTTACTACTCCGGTGTCTTGACCACCAGACCACTCGAACAGTAGAAGTCTGTCACGATATCGCTTCAAAAGCCCTCTCACTGTCAGCTATGCAATGGAACTTCGAGGTCCCCCCTGCACCTCCTAATTATCTTATAAAAATTTCCTGCAACAGATATGTTGCAAAATAGGCTAAAGAAAAAAAAAAGAAATTTTTTTGAAAAGTTGATAAAGCAGGGATTCGAACTTGCGCCTCCTCTCCCCAGCCGTCAGTTACTACTCCGGTGTCTTGACCACCAGACCACTCGAACACTCGAAGTCAGTCACGATATCGCTTCAAAAGCCCTCTCACTGTCAGCTATGCAATAGAACTTCGAGGGTCCCCCTGCACCCCCTAATTACCCTATAAAAATTTCCTGCAACAGATATGTTTGGACCATAGACCCCTACTTAGAGACCGAGTTTGAAAATTATAACTTAATATTAAAGGGAGTTAGACGGCTTTGAAATTTGAACTCCACCCCGACATTTTATTTTATTTATTATAGTTTTTTTATTATTCTATTATGCGTTCTTTAACAAAGAAAGATGCACAATTTTACTCATAGAACACCTTACGCATTAGAAACTGTCGAATATATTGTAAAAATAATTTAAAACAATGGAAATAAGACAATTTTCCTTGATTTTTCCAGTTTTTACACATTATTCGAAATTTTAAGAATTTAAAAAAATTATTTCCTCTAAGTAGGATCCTCTAAAATATGTAAAAACACATTGAAAAAATAATATAATGCAAAATAATCGGAAGAAAAAAAAAGAAATTCGTTTGAAAAGTTAATGAAGCTGGGATTCGAACCTGCGACCCCTCGCCCTTGCCGTCAGTTACTACAGCGGTGTCTTGACCACCAGACCACTCGAACACAAGAAGCCAGTTACGATTTCGCTTCAAAAGCCCTCTGACGGTCAGCTATGCAATACACCTTTGAGGGCTCCCCTGCACCCCCTAATTAACCTATAAAAATTTGTTCCAGTGGACAAGTTTGGACCATTGACCCCTACTTAGGGTTCGAGTTTTAAAATTATAACTTAATATTAAAGAGAGTTAGACGGCTTTGAAATTCGAACCCCCGTCCACCATTTTATTTTATTTTTTATTATTATTCCATTATGCGTACTTTAACAAAGAAAGATGCACACTTTTACTCAAAGAACACCTTACGCATGAGAAACTGTCGTATATATTGTAAAAATAATTTAATTTGCAACATTTTGGATTTTCCAGCATGCATGGGGTGTTTTCTGTGTGTGATGTCCAGCAAAGAAAGCGTAATGGAATAATAAAAAAAGAGAATAAAAATATAAAATGGCTTGAGAAAGATTCAAATTTCAAGACCCCCTAGCTCCCTTTAATATCAAGGTATAATTTTCAAACTCGGACCCTAAGTGGTGGTCTATGGTCCAATCAAGGCTGCTGAAGAGAATTTTTATAGGCCAATTACGGGGGTCACAGTGGGGCCCTAAAGGTATATTACGAAGATGAGAGGAGAGAGCTTTTGAGGCGAAATTTTTGCAGGCTTCGCGTATCACCGTGGACTTAAAGGTAGGCCACCAGACAAGCAAGTTCGCTGCAGGAGGGAGGGGTCCTGGGTTCAAATCCCATATATGATCAAATTTTCAAAAAATCTTCTTTTCTTTTTTTTTGTTTATTTTAAATTATATTATTTTTTTTATGTGTTTTTCGATATTCTTGAGGTTTCTGCAAGGAGGGAAAAAAAATTTTTTATTGGGAAAATGGGAAAAAACTGGAAAAATCCAGGAAAATCAGTTTATTTGCTCTTTTTCGACTTCTTTTGCAGCATTTTGGATATTCTAGCATGCATGGGGTGTTTTCTGTGTGTGAAGTCCTGCAAAGAAAGCGTANAAAAAAAAAAAAAAAAAAAAATAAAAAAAAAAAAAAAAAAAAGACTCGAGAAAGGTTCAAAGAACCCCTAAAGGTGTATTGCGAAGATAAGAGGAGAGAGCTTTCGAAGCGAATCTGTGGTAGGCCTCAAGTATCCCCGTGGACTGGAAGGTAGGCCACCAGACAAGCAAGGTCGCTGCTGGAGGGAGGGGTCCTGGGTTCGAATCCCAGTTACGGACAAATTTTCAAAAACTTTTCCTTTTTTTTTGTTTATTTTAAATCATATTATTTTTTATGTGTTTTTCGATATTCTGAAGGTTCCTGCACGTAGGGAAAATTTTTTTTTTGGGAAAATGAGAAAAAACTGGAAAAATCCAGGAAAATCAGTTTATTTTCTCTTTTTCGACTTCTTTTGTAACATTTTGGATATTCTAGCATGCATGGGGTGTTTTCTGTGTGTGAAGTCCAGCAAAGAAAGCGTAATGGAAGAATAAAAAAAAAAGATTAAAAAAATTAAATGGCTCGAGAAAGGTTCAAATTTCAAGACCCCCAACTCCCTTTAATATCAAGGTATAGTTTTCAAACTCGGGCCCTAAGTAGGGGTCTATGGTCCAAACAAGGCTGCTGAAGAGAATTTTTATAGGCCTATTAGGGGGGTCACAGTGGGCCCCTCAAGGTACATTGCGAAGATGAGAGGAGAGAGCTTTTGAAGCTGGAGGGAGGGGTCCTGGGTTCAAATCCCAGGGACGGACAAATTTTCAAAAAATTTTCTTTTTTTTTTGCTGTTTATTTTAAATTATATTACTTTTTTATGTGTTTTCCTTTTTTCTGGAGGGTCCTGCATGTAGGAAATAATTTTTTCTATTGGGAAAATGGGAAAAAGCTGGAAAAATCCAGGAAAATCAGTTTATTTGCTCTTTTTCGACTTCTTTTGTAACATTTTGGATATTCTAGCATTGTTGTGGTGTTTTCTGTGTGTGAAATCCAGCAAAGAAATCGTAATGGAGTAATAAAAAAAAAGAATAAAAAAATAAAATGGTTCGAGAAGGGTTCAAATTTCAAGACCCCCAACTCCCTTTAATATCAATGTATAATTTTCAAACTCGGACCCCAAGTAGGGGTCTATGGTCCAAACAAGGTTGCAGAAAAGAACTTTTATAGGCCAATTAGGGGGGTCACAGTGGGCCCCTAAAGGTATATTGCGAAGATGAGAGGAGAGAGCTTTTGAAGCGAAACTGTGGTTGGCTTCACGTATCACGGTGGACAGAAAGGTAGGCCACCAGACAAGCAAGTTCGCTGCTGGAGGGAGGGGTCCTGGGTTCGAATCCCAAGGAAGGACTAATTTTCAAAAAAATTTATTTTTATTTTCTTTTGTTTATTTTAAATTATATTATTTTTTTTATGTGTTTTTCGATATTCTGGAGGGTCCTGCATGTAGAAAATAATTTTTTCTATTGGGAAAAAACTCGAAAAATCGAGGAAAATCAGTTTATTTGCTCTTTTTCGACTTCTTTTGTAACATTTTGGATATTCTAGCATGCATGGGGTGTTTTCTGTGTGTGAAATCCAGCAAAGACTAAAGTATATTATTATTTAGTGTATTATTGTTTATTATATAGTATATTATATAGTATATTATATAACAGTATATAATTGTATATTATTCATTTAACAGATGCACTTTTATTTCTCCATTGTACCAATATTTTTTTTAAAAAAATATCCCTAATGAAACTAATATTCTCTAGAGGCTTTTGTTAAGAGCTCTTGCCTTGTTTACTGATATTGGTTTATAATTTTTAATTTCCTTATTATTATTTTGCAGAAAAAATATAAGGAGTTGTTTACGGTAAAGCTTATCAACTTACCTTTTTAATGCAAAAAGGTATATGTTAATACTCAAAATGAAAAATTAAAATTAATTTTTATTTTATTTAGTTCTTTGTTTGTTAGTCTGTCTTTTTAGGCACAAATCAAAAAATTCTTCAGTTCTCTCAAAATAGCTAGTCTTAGTCTTCCACCAAAAAGAAAAGGTTTTACAATTTATATACTTCTTACAGAAATCTTATCATTTATTTTAAATACTATAAATCTTCTTCTTGTTTTTATTTTAGGTTTTGAATTTGTAGGCTTTAAAACAGAAAAAGATATGAAACAAGCCCTGATTAAAAATAAAGGGTTTTTAGGTAAGCCTTCTAATTAGAATAATTTTAAACGTATTATGATACATCATAGTTAGGTATAAACAAAACTAAGTTATAATTTCAGTACTGCATCATAGTTTTGTTTCTACTCAACTTAATTTTCTATATATATTCCAATTGTTTTAATGTCTAACATATATTTTTCCTTTTCAGAAGTGTTTTTAAACAAAATTGCGTAATGTGACTGATGCGCGTTAAATCTGTCGAGTCACAAACTCCTCCATGTTCCCATACCAAATTATACCTATGGGAGTACTGAACCAGAAGTTTTCTGGATTGGTTCAAGGCTACAGAGTTGAACATTAGTAGTCGTAAACCCAAAATTGGGTCGGCTGTTCAACGGCGGTTATAAAGTAAAATATTAATACATGTTATCTACTCATGTATGAAAACAATTCAATTATGATGAATGGTGACCACAATGGTGACCTCCGGACGTGGTATGAACATTCCAACATTGAGTGATGATCCACATTAAAGAGTTGATTTGCTTAAAAAATATACTGCTCAAGGAGGAAAAAAATCCGGTGAAGTAAATAAAGTCTCCCGGTTAATAAACAATATTGAAAAAATAATAATGAGCGAAATGCTATGTAACAAAAATAAGGGGGGAAAAATGAGCGAAATGCTATAAAAAAATGAAGAAAATAATAATAATGCGAGAAATGCTATAAGCAAAAAATGAAGGGGAAGAAATATATATAATGAGCAAAATTGATATAAATAAATGAACAACATGAATCAACTAGTGGTAACAGTTCATCGAATTCTATCTGTGATAAAATTCTGGAAGGGAAGTAATGTGTCGTAACTACCACTACAAATATTAAATACCAATTCACTAGCATACAGGGTGATTCTAAAAAGATGGGAAAAATTTTAGGAAGTGATAGTACACACCCAGACAAACAATTTTTATCAAAGAATGCATGGTCGAAAACAAAACGCAAAGGTGCTGGCGCATTTGGAAAGTTTTTTCATGCAAACGAGAAAGCTCCATTCCTATTGCGAGTTACTGCGCTACGTTATTTGTCGCCAAGCTTTCGGCCGCTGCAGGGAAAGTTCGCCTATCTTTTCTTCGCCGTTGTACCAGCATAGCCGCTGCCGGCCACTGTTTTCAACACTTATTGTAATCACATGCCTTTACATTTGCTTTTATAACTTAACTTCATCGTTCTTTGTGTGTTTTTGCCTCATATAAGAACATAAACTCTGACGCCCTCTAGCGGTTTTGGGTTTTGTTTCCGATCATACATTCTGTGATAAAAATTGTTTGTCTGGGTGTGTACTATCACTTCCTAAAATTTTTCCCATCTTTTTAGAATCACCCTGTATAAGATATGTTAACTAGATTCTTTCCCGAGGTACCTTTTGATAGATGAAGGTTGACATTGTCGATAATTAATTCCCCACAAGATAAATTAATTGGGGTTCCCACTACAAACGGACTTCTTGTTATAAGTCTCACACCCAGGTGAACCGATATGGGGTATGAAGCCCCGGTGATAATTCTTTCTTCTAAAATTCTCTCTTTTACCTTCTGTGCGAATTTCAGGACTCTCAACCGAGTTATGAATGAATGACGGCTTTTATAAATGTGCATGAACTTAAGGAAGTTGTTTTTTATTTTGTTTCAATAAGTGTAGACTGTACAGCAGATGTTTTCAGAGAAGTTACAACATCAAGTTGGCGAAATGATTCTTCTTCTAAAAGTTCACTATTCAGGAGTTATGACGTTGACTTGCGAAAGAGTAAGAACTTCGCTGCTACGTCTATTGAGTAGGTATGTATTCACAGCATTAAAGATGGCGGCACAAAAACCCATGAGACTGACATAGAAGAATGTTTGGTGACTTCCAACCAGATCAAAGCCAATACCAGCCAAAATGCAGCCAAGACCAGCACCTAAACACAGAGATCAGTTATGTTATTAAATGTTTAAAAGTTTTTCATTTTTACCTATTTTCAGAATACTGCCTCTACAAAGATTCTACAGTAACATGCACCTAAATTGCAGCTTTTTCCTCACAAAATAGTCTCGAAGAGTTGAAAATAAGTTCTACCCAGGTGGTAAAAATGAAGGCTTAGATCAGGGGCTTCCAACTTACATTAGGCCGAGGGCCGCAATTAAAAACACCAATCAAATGGCGGGCCACAACTTTATCAAAGTTTTATATAGGACTCTTTTATGTTAGAAAGAACATTAAATATTGCTGTCATATTTTTATCAAAGTTTTTTTAATATTAAAAAACAAAATTACAAGCATTACAAATAATGCTTGTTACGTATCATTTTAAATCAAAAACTTAGGGACAAGATTTTTTTTTATTTTAAATTTAATTCTGCGATAAATTAAATTTTTTTTCGACTTATTAGGAATCATAGCAACAACAAAAAAATTCTCAAGCATCTGAAATTAATTTTTTTTCCTCTTTTCCGCTCATGCGATATTCAATTCAAGGACTTTAGCTAAAACATGATATTCATTCCCTCTTTCATACGCTTTAAAATTTACAAATGTAAATAATTTCGTCCAAAATGAGTGGTTTCAAAAAGTTAAATCGGAGAATTTCTTCGAGAAAATTTCTGATGCGTACCTGCTAAATTATTTTCACAAAATACAAAAAAATAAATAAATAAATAAAAAATAAAAAAGAGCAACATACACGATTATTTTTGTATTTGAATAAATAATTTCTTGGGTGTAAAACCTGAGAAATTTTTTTTTTTTGCACCGTTGGAATGTTAAATTTCACAGAAATAAAAAAATTAGTTTTTTATTTTTTTTTTTTTTTTTTTTTTTAACGAGAAAAGTATTTTGAACCCTTATAGATTTTTTACGAAAATTGTCCGCACGAAAAAATGAAAACTGATATATTTTAGTTCGTGGGCCACAAAAAAAGGCTTCGAGGGCCAGTTGCGGCGTGCGGGCCGCCAGTTGGAAACCCCTGGTTTAGATCATGTGATGTTGTTGCCGTTTTGGTTGACGATGAAACTTGGTATAAAAAATCAAACTTAATTTCGCTATATTTGTGTAAAATACCATTGCTTATTATTTTTTTTTAGCAAGCTTGCGGAATCTTCCATTCATTACATTGACAGTTAAACTAAAAGTTGTATTGAAAAGCATAATAATATTGGATAATTCAAGCTTAAGGAATAACCCGGAAGTCTTGCACTAATCCTAAAACTGTCCATTCAATCACATGATTCTGGTTTAGCACCCGCAGATGTATAGTTTGTCTAAAGACCCATTCGTTTCGACCCGTGACTATGGTAACGAACTATTTCAACTCGGGTCACTGCTTGGGACAGGTTTTGGTTCGGGTCGGAGAAAGGAAAGGAGTATTTTTCTTCGGTCTATTGTGTTAGCCCTAGAGTAAAGAATGAAATGCGCTATTCATGTTTCCCTAGCAGCAGACGGCCTCAGACTTTGTGGCGGGGGGAGTTCTAACTGTAGACAAGATATAAAATATCCCCAATAGTTCATGGGACATGATTTAGAATCTCCTTATTGTTGCACTATCTGTGGCAGGTATTCGTGGTTTTCCTTTCAATGTAAAGCAAATGTGGGTTATATTTTGCTCAGAAAGTCCTCCATGAAGATGAGTTTTTCTACCAATGCCCAATTTCCTTATAGTCTGATTCAGGAGTTGAGGTTTGATGTAGCTTCTTATATTTTTAGGCTGTTCAATGACAGTGAGAAAATTAATAAAAAGCGCATGTTCAAAACGCTTTGCTCTACCACACAGTTCAATGGCTATTGCGGCAATGTCGCGAATTAAGCTTGCTTTCGATATAAATTTATTTTATATATCGTCTTTGCAGAACTTTCCAATCTTTTTAAGTTTAAAAAACCATAATCTTTCTTCTGACCATTGATATTCTTGCATTAACTGCAGCTCTGATAGAGCAACTTTACGTTTGCCCATTCTTCTGCGCATGATTTTATTTTCCTTGGTATTGGCTTTTTAGCCTACAATGATGCCAGCCAAAAGATAAACAAACTGGGATATTTTACACAAATATAGCCGAATAAAGCTCAAAACATGGCAAACCTTATGCTTTACTTACGCCGTGATATTAATTTTCTTAATTTTGTTTTATGCTCACGACCAATTAGAATTTATAAATTACCGAAAACTCTTATGAACGGTTAAATTACGAGTAAATTTAAACACAAATCACAATAATAAAACTTCTTAGAATATTAAGCCTGTTGACACATCTCCTCGTAAGCATAACATAAGCGAAGGGATACACCGGAAATTTTCTAAATTTCTTCCAGCATATGGAAGCTTATAATTGTTTAAGATTAAAACTTTCCAATATAATATTGGGATGTTTTTTTAATGTGTACTGCAATGGTTAGAATGGATGACGTTTTCAATATATATGTAAACAATAACAATCTCGAGCATCATACCTGCTCCAGTTCCGGTAAGAATGTTTGCAACTGCTTACTACAGCTTATTCTGCAAGGCGATATTTTCAAACGGATAATTTTGTTTTCGATATAGATAATTTTTTAGCTCAAATCTGCCATATTTCATAAGATATTAATGTTATTAAGTAATTCTGGTAAGTTTGATTGTTGTTGTTGTTCATTTACGTCGCACTAGAGCTGCACAATGGGCTATTGGCGACGGTCTGGGAAACATCCCTGAGGATGATCCGAAGACATGCCATCACAATTTTGATCCTCTGCGGAGGGAATGGCACCCCCGCTTCGGTAGTCCGACGACCTGCACTCGAAGTCGAGCACTTTACGGTAGAACAGTTTAACGAGGACCCATACCGCACACCCTCGGTCCCTACGTAGGCTGATCCAAGTGGTCACCCACCCGCACACTGACCGCAGCCAGTGATGCTTGACTTCGGTGATCTGCTGGGAACCGTGTCTTAACGATCAGTCCGCTGCGGGACCTGGTGAGTTTGAAGTGAAAATTTGTTTTAGTTACTTAGAGATATATCGTTAAAAAAGGTGGCATGTTTGCTAGATTTGGAATAACTCGCTTATTCGGCAGTTCTGTTTTAGCCTCTTTCCATTCGTTTATTACTGTTTGTTCTTGTTGCAAGCTGTGCACCATCTTACGTCCGTGTTAGCACCTTTATTATTGTAAATACGAGTAATAAGAAATCAAATACCATGTTTGCAAGAATTTCAAAACACAATGATCACGTTGTGAGCCAAATGGCTTTAAAATACAATGGAAGCAGTAACCCGGAAGTATAGGCGGCATGGAGCTTGCCGCATTACCTAGTGTAGAAAATACCATCCATTGTTCGAAACATAATTTTTAAAAATTTAAAGACCATTCTTACTGCACTTATTAAAACGATCAAACCAATTAGATTCTTGTATAAACTCCAAGCAAGAATTTTCACTTTAATGAAAAAGCCGGTAATAATAATAGTTAACAATCATTATCAAAACACTAGAAATAAGTGTTTACTTACCTAGGCCTTCATGGGTGGTAAAAAGAATAGACTGGGTAGTTGCTTCAGTACCCGGCTTCGCACTCTTCTTTCCATAGGATGCCACAGTAGGATAAAAGGTACCATAAGTGAAAGCGTGTGCTATCTCCATGGGAAGGACTAGCCAAGGATTATAGAGGTAGCTGTACCACAGGAAACGCAAAGCATAAGAAAGCAGGGATAGGGTGATGAGGTTGAAATGTCCCAGTTTCTGTATAAACCAGCCGGAGAAGTACATAAATGGTATCTCACCCAGGAAGCATTGGACGTAATTCACTAGTCCACAAAGAAACGTGTTGGCTCCAAGACCAGCCAGGAACCACAATAAATAGAACCACATGATGCCAGCCCCCAATCCGTTGAAAAAAACTCCCCATTCAAAAGCGACGAACTCCAATGACTTGAGAACTTTGCCGACGTCTTTTAAGAGATTCTGCGAGAAATGAGGTTTCACCAGATCTAACTGCGAAATGTTCCAAATAGTTATTATTTTCAAAACTGCCATCAGCACCCAAGCCGCGACGTAATCGTGAGTCAAGTCAATCAGGAGTCCACCTATGGCTGACATTGTTCCCCATCCGACTGCCCCGAACATTCTCTGCCTTCCGAAATCGCCTTTCACTTTTTCCACCGTCTCAAAACACGCCGTATCACCGAGGGTGAAAACGGAACTGACGCACGTGCTCATCAATGTCGTCGTTATAGCAAACATCCAAAATTCGAGAGTTGCAAAATCGCTGACTCCTTCACCATTGTTGTTCCTGGAGATCATGCAAGGAAACGTTTCACCCTGATCTAACGGGACGGATTTCAACGTGCCCCAACGCTCGTGGGTATCGGTGACATTTTCCAATGGCACAGGCGTGGCTACTGAGCAACTGCAATTTAATTCTGTTCCATAGACTTCAGGACTATTTTTGTTCTTAAAGCAAAGCGCAGTTGCGTTAGCACTGCTGACGCAGATAAATTCTACATTCAGTGAGGGCCTTGCGATGATCATTGTGAATTCATCCCCCCCGAAATCAATTGTTGTTGACTTGTGGATTGGGGGAACAGCAATGACGAGAAAAAGGGCTATAGCTTGTACTGTCAGAAGTGTTATTATAATCAGTTTCAGTTTGTTGAAGTAATCAGCTACGTATCCAATGACTGGCTTCGTGATGACGGCGAGTAGCTGCTGAGTGGTTAGAACAGCGGCCAATGACGTTGCAGAAAGACCGATCCTGTTCCTGGCAACGATTGGTAAATACGGTAGAGCTACACCCATAGCTGAAAGGAAAAAGAATGAATAAAATACAAGGCGTATCCAGAAAGTAAGTTTCCCGAATTTTTTAGAGAAAAGAACTGGCACTTTCAGGATCATATTTACTGGCAACATGTACAATAATGTTTCAGCTATTTTTCAACATAGCCACTACCAGAATTGAGACACTTGTCGTATTGTGGGATCAACTTTTGCGTCCCTCTGTCGTAACACTTGAAAGAATAAATCTAAGAAAACTAGAGTTATACATACTTGATTATGTAAACTTCATTTGCTTCAACAAAAAAAAAAATCCGAATTGGACATGTTTCGAGACTAAAGAAATAGGCGCCCATTCTCAAGACTAACCAGACGAGAAAGAAGAAAAAATAAGTGAGTTGAAACGGAGAGTGTAAAGTTGCCCTCACAAAAAATGCATAAAAAAAGTTGAAGAAGAAAACAAGAAAAACAGTGGTGCACAATGGGCCAGCATCCAAGGTTTCGTGGCCAAAATTAGTATTTTGATAAAATTTGGGGGGTTTTATGTGCAGGAAAATTGAATTCATAGTTGAAATTTTGAAATACACTAAAAATACCCTAAAAAACAAAATGGCGGCTGACATATGGCGAGCAAAAATAAAAATAATAATTTAGTACGTTTAAATGATTAAATATAGCAATAAAAATATAGTAATTTTCGTAATTTTATATTGAAAATGAAAAGCAAATTATATTTCCGAAGTATAATATTACAAAATAACGCGAAAACATGAAAAAAAACATAACTTTTGTTTTTCGGTATATTTGTCCACCTTTGCTATACGGGCAAAATGGAGCAGGGGTTTTCGAAAGAAGAAACATCAAAGAAGACAACAAAAAAAAAATGTTTAGCTAATTACCTCGTGGAACTTTCTGGATTTAATTTAATTAATTAATTAATAATAACTAATTACTTAATAATTAGGAACTAATTTTGGAAAGTCATTCAAACATTGTAAAATGTCAGATGATAAGATATAAACTATAAGTTTGTCAAGAGTATTAACTTATCCAACAAATTGAAAAATTGTATTATAATTTAACACTAACTAATTACTCCGATAAAAGTGTAACAGTAAGGTGAAATTCCTAGGTATATGTCTGAAATAAAAATTTAAAAGTTACATTTAAAAAAAATTTTTTTTAAACATATTTTTCATTACATTGTACTCTCGTCGGTCCAAAATGTAAATTATAATGTTTGGAATGATGATGAATACTTAATTTGGGCTATATTAAAACTGCCTACACATATTTTAGCTGAAAATTTAATTTTTGACTTTTGGCCAAAGGTCATGGTCTACTGGCCCACAGTGCGGTGACCGAGAGTGAAACAGAAAATGAGACAAGAAAAACCACAATGGTCGAGAGAAATAAGGGCAAATATTAGTTAGGCCTTTTCACCTACGACGGAGAGGTGGGGAGAAATTCATGTTGTTAACAAGAAAATTCATATGAATAAAACAAGATTCTATCAAGATGTGACGGGGATCGAAAGAATTTTATCATTATTGAAATGGAATTTATGCCCAACGTTCCAATAATGCGCAACAAGATATAATTTATCGCATCCTTTATGGTGGACATAGCGTTCCTTTAGTTTTAAATTTTAAAGCAAGTATGGTTTGTGCGATGTAGCTAAAGTTGCACTGGCAAGGTACTTTGTAAATTCTATGTGGTAGAATAATTTTCCATTGGCAACCTTACGTATTCTTTTCTCAATCACTTTTGTTTTTTCATTCACGTCTGGCGAGTCATGACAATGAAGTCCTATTTCTCTGCGCTCAAAACATGTTGACTTTTATTACCATCTTCATATGAAGCAAATGAAGTTACCAAGCACAGTAAACAAACATAATCACACAGTATTAGAACCACAGTAGCTCAAGAGATATAACGTTCGCCTCTTGAGGCGGTGAGCCGAGTTCGAATCTCAGTGGAGACTGGTTGATAAAAATTCTGCCCGGCTCGCCACGACAAAAAAAATATCCTCCGGTGCAGGCGTATCATAGGAGAGAAAGCCTTTGCCATCCGACTATCTATTGCAGGTTTTCGGGGTTTTCCTCTCAATGTAACGCAAATGCGGGTTGATTCAATCAAAAAATTTATTTCACAATTGATAGTTTGTCCCAATGCTTGATGCAGGAGTTCTCTTGTCTTCTAAGTCTGGTTCAAAATTGCAAGAATACGGAGTTGAACATTGATGGACGTAAACTCAAAATTGCGTTGAACGCCGATTATAAGATAAAACAAAATTGAAAACTCCTAAATCAAAACTTAGAGCAGAAACAGGAATTAAGATTGTACTTATAGGAACACTGAAGACAGCTCTCTGTTTCACAAAGGTTGGCAAAATTTATGACATGACTGTAATCGGTGGGAATGAAACTTTATAACCTCATCATCATCATAGTTCGCCAGACAGCCCAATGTGAGCCGATGACTTCATCTGAAGATTTCTCCATGACGACTTCCGATTTAACTTTGAGCTTTATTACCTAAGTTGAGTTAAAAAAACCCTACACAAATTTCGGTGGCGTAAATAGTGATGAGCTGACTGCTTTATAATTTATCCGCATTCGTAGGAACAATACTTCGTAACTTTGCTTAATATTAGGCTTAATACTTTTGTTTCATTTGCAATGTTTATTAGTGGCAACACAAGTAAAACTTATAAAAAAAACATTACAACTCAAATACAGTCAAGCAGTGATACTGTTACCAGTAGAAGTCAAGCACTACTGTTAGTAAGTGAACTGCTTTGATCATCAACCTGCGTAGGGACCGAGGGTGCGCACCCATAAGCAGAATATTTTCAAATGTTCTGCAACAGGATTTATTAATTTATACAAATGTTCTGCAAGCATTTCACAGCAAAAAAGTCAACGTTAAAATACTATATTTTCATTGATTAAAATACAGGATCATACACAGATACACTACATTATTTTTTAAACCAAAGCAAACATTCTTGATTTGTTACTTTTTTAATCACTTCTGAAGTACAAAATTTTGTTTATCTCGATGATGATGACTTATTAATAAATGACTATGATATGAAGGTCCGAACATTAAAACTTACACAAACGTTCGCTGGTCTGTTGTTCCAACAATTTCTTCATCTCCATCGAAAGCATATGGTCTTTTAGAATCGCTGTCACTTGTTTAAGATACAAATTGTTCTGCTGGACTTCGTTTGTCCTGTGACGTTTGTCACAGTTTTAGGCACTTTCTGCTTCTGGGGGTGTGCGTTACGGGTCCTCGTTAAACTGCTCTACCGTTAAAGTGCTCGACTTCACGGGCAGGTCGTCGGGTTACAAAAGCAGGGGAGCCATCCTCTCTGCAGAGGATCAAAATTGCGATGTCTTCGGATTATCCTCAGAAATGTTTCCCAGATTGTTTATATTATTTTTAAGATAACTTTTTTTAGCTTTCTTTTTATGCAATTCAAAAGCGAAATTGGTTTTTTCCCATAAAATGTCCTTTACAGATACAGACTAGCCTGCATTAGCTTGACTAATGATTAAGATTGTGCAGCTCTAGTGCGACATTAAATAAAGTATCTACCTACAGCTCAAGTTGTTGTTGTTAATTTACGTCACACTAGAGCTGCACAATGGGCTATTGGCGACGGTCTGGGAAACATCCCGGAGGATGAACCGAAGACATGCCATCACAATTTTGATTCTCCGCGGAGGGGATCCTACAGCTCAAATATCAATGTTTTGGATAAATGTATGATTTTATCATATCGCAAACTATCGCCAATGTTCGTATAGAAGCCGTGTTGGCTCAGGGGATAGAGCGCTCGCCTTCCAATGAGGTGAACCGGTGTTCGATCCCGGCGATGGCTGGTTGATACGAATTCCGCATCCGGCATGCACCGACCCCAGTGCACACGGGAAATGTCCTCAGTGGTAGACGGATCACGAGTTAGAGTCCCCTTGCCGTCAATCTAACCATGGGAAGTTCTCGCGGTTTTCCTCTCCATCTCACGCAAATGCGGGTTAGTTCCATCAAAAAATCCTCCAGGAAGGCAAAATTTCTCCCAATACTTGATCCTGGAGTTCCCTTGTCTTCTGGATTGGGTGCAAAATGACAAGGCTACGTAGTTGAACATTAGAAGTCGTAAACCCAAAAATTGCTGTTCAGCGAGGGTTATAAAACAAAATGAAATGTTCGTGTTGTCGGCAACTCGGAATGGCCCACCTCAAGATCAACTCTAACCTTATAAGGTTACGGAAAATTTGCTCTCATTATTAGATACCAATATTACGGGCCAAAGTTGAATAGATTCTTCTTGCAGAGTTTGCACTGGAAAGTGTTTCTTGTTTTATGCTTAACTAAACTTGCGTAGATAGAGAAAAAAAAATGGAACTTACCACCTATGGATAAGAAGAAATGGGCCTTAAACCGGATCATCTCTCTGTCTATGTGGAAAAAGGATTTTTTTGTGGATTCTTTTTTGGAATCACCCGCGGCTGCAATCGATCCTATGCTCATCTCTTTATTTTCAATCATTTTAAATTTGAACTATCTATAAAACAAAATATTGGGTTATTGAACCATCCACTAAAAATCATTGCTCTAACAAGGGAGACTAGGGTCAATTTTGAAATAAACTGGTAGGAGGAATAATTTTAGGGGGCAACGTTCGTTTTGGCCCATAGAAGGTCCTATGAGATATAAAAAAATAATTCAATGTATAGAACAATCGGTATTTTATTACTTCAATGCAGACTATTAGTTATTGTAATTATCTCATATTCCAATTAGTTTTGTGCGTACTATATAATACATATTTATTGTCAAAATTGATTTCGAAAATTTAATATATCTGTAGTTTTTCAGAGAAACCTGGTCTCGCGGTGGACTGATTGTTAAGACACGGTTCCCAGCAGATCACCGAAGTCAAGCATCACTGGCTACGGTCAGTGTGCGGGTGGGTGACCTCTTGGATCAGTCTGCGTAGGGACCGAGGGTGTGCGGTATGGGTCCTCGTTAAACTGTGCTACCGTAGAGTGCTCGACTTCCCGCGCAGGTCGTCGGGCTACCGAAGCGGGGGTGTCATCCCCTCCGCAGAGGATCGAAATTGTGATGGCATGTCTTCGGATCATCCTCAGGAATGTTTCCCAGGCCGTCGCCAATAGCCCATTATGCAGATCTAGTGCGACGTAAATTTACAACAACAGTTCAGAAAAACCTGTTAGGTTAATTTTAAAAAAAATTGGCATCAAACTTAGTTTTTTTTTCCAAAAACTTTTTCCAAACTAATTGGAGTATGTAATTGCAAATTAATTAATAATTAATTAATTAACCAATTAATTGGAGTATGAGATAACTACCATATCTAATAGTCTGCACTGAAGTAATAAAATACCGATTGTTTTATATATTGAATTATTTTTTATCTCTCATAGGACCTTCTATGGGCCGAAACGAATGTTGCCCCCTAAAATTATTCCTCATAAAGGCATACATCCCACCAGTTTATTTCTAAATTGGCGAGTCACACTTCCCTAGTCTCCATTGTAAGTGGATTAAAATAGCTCCGGTTTATTTTATTATTAACTGTCTTTAAAAACCTTACAAAACTATCATGTACAACAATTTAATGGTAACCAAGCCGAATCCACAGTACAGCTGTATTTAAATATTCCACAACTCTTAAACCCCTCCCCCCCCAAAAAAAACCCACATTAATGTTTGACAACGCATCAATTACAGATTCGCCGACATAATCAAAACATTTCATACAACAAAAACACATGCGGAGTAGATTTTATGGTAAATGGTCCTATGATATCAACGTGAATAATGCCAAATCTTCTCGGTAACAAGCTGAGCACGCGTATGTTGCCCATTGGATGTACGTTGTATCTTCTGATGCGCATGTTACCATCTTTTCGAACGTTTAGCCATTTGTTTGACTGTAGATTTGACACCAGGAGCTGTGAAATATGTGCATTGGAAAATCATGAGAATAAATTTTTGTTGTCGAAATATCGCACCAGAAGAATTGAAATTCAAAGATGGTTCCGAGACGAGTTCAAGTAAGATAATTATTATCGATTACGCAATTTCATCATAATCTATTTCAGAAATAGATTTTATATTCTGGATCTGCAACACTATTTTCTTTTCCCCTTCGATGTCACCAAAATGTGATGAAAATTCTGAAATATATTGTAAAGTGATGCTTTCTCGTTCTTTTGCTGATAGACAAATGGTTAGTACGGATACTCGGCCAGATATGTTTGATTGGAGAGAGTTACCGTTGATATATGCAACATGTGCAGAGGTGCCACATATCTGACAAGCTCAAGCAAGAAGAAGAAGAAGTAGGAGAAGTTACCGTTCTTATGTGCTTTAAGGTGCCCGTCTTCATATTGCTGTTCAACACATCCGAAATTAGAGGCATCTATACGTGAAGCTAATGGTAGATATGGATTTGGGACCCTGTAGCAGAATTTTTCTAGCCATCTGCGACTAATCTCTCTAGCAAAAAATATCTTTCTTCAAGATACTTTTAATTATGACAAACATGTATGTTACTAATTGAAAGTAACAAATACGCTGTGTTTACAAAAAAGACTATATAACTTTTTTTAAATTGAATAAGTAATAATTTTTTATTTAAATATTATGGATGATATTCTCGCATTTCGTTGGTTGAAAATCGCGCAAATTATGTGTGCGCTTTTCCAAATCATTAAATTTTGTAAACTAGTGGGATGCGCCCCCTGCTCGCCAACCCCCGAAAATTGCTACGCAATCTTATAAGGTTTGCTTCGCAAACTGAGATCGCTTCGCACGCTACTAACTTAGGTATATTGCAAAATCATAAACTAACTTAGGTATACTGATTTCGTTAAACCTATTATAAATGTGCTGTATAGTATAAAATCAAAAATCGTCAAATAAATTCGTAATATATAAATTCGTGAAAAAAAGCGCTTTCGACAAAATACTAAAATAGAGATCTATCGACAAAGACTACTCACTTCTGCCTATCTTAATAGTATGAGATTGCCGCAGCTGATAGGGTGAATTTCGGAAGAGATCACATTTGGAGAGAATGCTCTCTCTGGTTATTTCAGTTTCCGTTTTTAAAAGCGCTATATGTTGAGCCACCTGAGCTAGATTTGGCATGTGACATTTTTAGCTGCAATCATTGGTCGATTTTCTAGCGTTGCCATTCAGGGAGTTGTAATGAGGCTTTTTTTGTCGCCGTATAAGAGAAATATATATATAGATAATCATCACAGTAAAAAAAAAAGTAATTAAAAATCATGAAATTCACATGGTCCTCATAGCTAAAAAAAAGATCAACGACGATATCACTCGAATCGAACTCCTTAAACGCGTGTTTCGTTTCGAGATTAAGATGCTATAATAAATAATATCGAAAAAAAATATCGGATTTAAAAACTGTGGAGAAATCAATAGCAAAATTCAAAAATTCGATAGAATTATAGCCTTGAAAAGTACTCAAATGCACGATTCGAACTTTCTGTATTGTTTGAAATACAGGGTGATTCTGAAAAGATGGGCAAAATTTTAGGAAGTGATAGTACACACCCAAGCAAACAATTTTCATCAAAGGATGCATGGTCGAAAACAAAACGCAAAACCGCTAAAGGGCGTCAAAGTTCATGTTCTTATATGAGGCAAAAACACACAAAGAACGATGAAATTAAGTTATAAAAGCAAATTTAATGGCATGTGATTACAATAAATGTTCAAAACAGTGGCCGGCAGCGACTATGCACGCAGTACAACAGCGAAGAAAAGATAGGTGAACATTCTGAAACACACCAGGCATATCACGAACTTTCCCTGCAGCGGCCGAAAGCTTGGCGACAAGTTCTTCTGCAGTTTCAATGGGAGTCTTATACATAAGACGTTTGCATCAAACAACTTTCCAAATGCGCCAGCACCTTTGCGTTTTGTTTTCGACCATGCATTCTTTGATAAAAATTGTTTGTTTGGGTGTGTACTATCACTTCCTAAAATTTTGCCCATCTTTTTAGAATCACCCTGTATATGTAAATTTTTGTAGAAAAGAAAACTGATTTTTTTTTTTTACATTTCCAAAGAAAAATTTTTCTGCAACAACTCTGTAACGTTCTGCGACAATGTCGCCGCAATTCTGTCACGGAGATTTGGAATGGTTAATAAAGCATAATTGGATAAATCTTTTTTTCACTTTTTGTTCATGGAATTTCCTATCGGTCTTTTTTTTTATTGAACTTTTTAAACATCTATTTTAAGAGAGTTTTAGCTGTGTTTTCCATAATAGTTATTCCCAAAGGAGTTCGTAAATAGTTTTGGGAAGTTTGTAATTTGTCATGGCTTTTACCATTTCAAAACAGATGATTGATGTCATCCCAAACCATGACAGATTTCGATTCAGGCCCGTAGCCAGGGGGGGGGGGACCGTCGGGACAAATTCCCCCCAACCGAAATTCTGGGATTTAAACTTTTTAGACTCTCTTTGAGCCTCTCAGTAAAAAGAAAAACAAAAACTGTCGAATCAAACCTTTTCCCAGTACACCACCTTCGCTAGTGCATCATCTTCACTTGCCCTTTTGGCTCATCTTTCCTTCGGTTAGACTACTCCCCCGAAATCAATCGTTTTTCAGCATATTAATGTATGCTATTTCCGAATCTACGCAGATTTCATTGACATAGAAAACCTCATGGGAGAAATGGAAGTATGGGCATCAAAGTAGAACCTGCGTGAACCCTTTAGTAGACCAGATACGGCACTTTCAGCAATGGAAGAATGTGACAGTATCTTTTTCCCAAACATTTATTGCTTGTTATCAATATTGGCTACGTTGCCAATCACCACAGCAACAGCAGAAAGAACTTTTTCTACTCTTAAACGCGTAAAAACAGCAACAAGAAACGCTACTAAAGAAGAAAGGCTAACAGGGCCAACTTTATTAAGCATATTTCGGGATATTCCGGTTTGCCCTAAAAAAGTAATCGAAAAATTTTCTTCAAATCCCCGTCGCATGTCTTTGTAAACTTTGTTTACAAATTGATTATAATTATTATGTAATATTAATTGAAAAATAATTATTATGTAATGTTTTTTAATTACTAGTTTAACTTTTGCAAACAGAATAAACAATATTTGTTACAATGTTTTCCCCTTACTTTGCATGGACTTTGCAAATGTCCTGGCTACAGCCTTGTTTCGATTAGTTGATGCATAATGTTGGATTCTATTAAATACTTCCATAAAGTGCTATTCCTCATTTTCCGACGCTATTAAGATGTCGTCCAAATAAGGAACATTTAGTATCACGAGAACTTTTTTTTATAACCATCGTTGAACAGTCGACCCAATTTTTGGGTTTCAAACTACTAATATTCAACTCCGTAGATTTGTCATTTTAAAGCAAATCCAGAAGACAAGAGAACTCTTGGGAGTAAATTTGCCTTCGTGGAAAGCTTTTCGATGGAACTGACCTGCGTTGGCGTTACATGGAGAGGAAGACCACGAGAACCTTTCCCGGTTAACCTGACGACAAGGGGACTCTAACCCATGATCCGTCTGTCTCTGAGGATATTTTACGTCAGCACTGTGGACGGTATAAACCGGATGGGGAATTCGTATCGACCATTCATCGCTGGGATTCAAACCCGGTTCACTTTATTGGAACGCTCAATCCCCTGAGCAATCACGGCTCATGAAAACTTTATTGATAAACATTTGGAAAGTTGCTGGAGCAATTCTTAAGCCGGAACCCATTTTATTAAATTCAAAAAATCTAAACACCTGTTTTTTTTAAATTTTTTTATCTTCCTCTGCTATTGGAATTTGGTAATAAGTTTTAAGTAAATAAATTTTTGTCCTTCAAAATGTGATGGTGGTCTGCAATTCAGTGCCACTGTTACATCATTCGCGCGACGATGATTTCTGCATGGTCTTAGAAAATAGTCATATATTTAAAAATTGAATTTCTCAGGAACTATTCAACCGATTGCTCAAATTTTTGAAGTGATACTTCTTATGCGACTTCCAACAAGGTTGCGTTAAACGTTTAACGCTACATTTTTATTGGCCGGGAAATCACGTGGTAGGATCCAGTTTTCCCTCATTCATTTCCATATTGTTTTGGTTCTCACTAGCATAAAAATAATAAAAGTCATAAAAGTATTGTTTTTCTATAAATATTTTTTTAGTTTGTTTTGATACACATATAATTTAATAGGGTAGTATTTTTTATTTTCAAATTTAGTGGATAACAATTGTAAAAAATGAGTGAAAACAATCCCACGGACAATGCGACGGATTTAAGGTTATGTCAAGGTACGTCTCTTGTGAATATCAATTGATTGTTAGGTTTTCTCTTCTGAAATTACATTATGACGCATTCACATACATTATTAATACAAATACATTTTCCAGGGCGAGACGATGAGGCAACCACAAGCACTTCCACTGGTTCAAGAGGTCCACGAGGGAAAAATGCACAATATTACCGTGATTACAGAGCACGGAAGCGAGCGGAGCAGGAAAAAGAGTCGTTGAATAGAACTAGTGATCCTTCTACGACTGCTGATTCTTCTACAATTAACGTCGCAGGTTGCGAAGTTTAACTTCTTCCGAGCAGAGGGACTCCACGCATTATTTTTTTTTTTATTTGTCCATGTAAAATCATATTCTTTAAAATGACGTAAAATATTGTATACCTTACAATTCAAGAATTTTCGACCATTAATAAATAAAATGTGAGAAATATTTATTTTTTACATGGAGTTTAGCTTCGGACAAACAAACTTTATAATTGTGTGCAAAAATGCTTCAATTCGCTTTGAAAGTTTTCGAGTAATAACGAAGTACGCAAAAAGTGAAATTAACATTAAGGGGTCAAAACTTTTGACCACTCTTGTGATCAAAATGTTGGGACCCTATTTTCCAGATTGCAACTACCTCTATATTTTAGGGGTCATAAATACGAATCCCACGAAAAAAAGATGTGTTTATTCAGAGAAAAAACTTTTTTGTGTCGATTTCGTAACTTAAAATATCGTGACCACATGCATAAAAATACACTGCTTTTACCATTAAACATTGCCAACTGACTTTAAGCCACATGGACAACTTTTCGATATAAATTTCACTTGAGCCGTGATGGCTCAGGGGATAGAGCGTTCGCATTCCAGTAATGGCTGGTCGAAAAAATTCCGCATTCGGCTTGCACCGACCATATAGATTAATTAAAATATCCTTAGTGGTAGACGAATTATGATTAGAGTCCCCTTGCCGTCAGGCTAACCATGGGATGTTTTTGTTGTTTTCCTCACAATGTAACGCAAATGCGGGTTAGTTTTATCACGAAGGCAAATTTCTCCCAATACTTGATCCAAGAGTTCCCTTGTCTTTTGGATTGGGTTCGAAATTACAAGGCTTAGTTAAACATCAGTTGTCGTAAACCCAAAATTGGATCGGCTGTTAAACGATGGTTATATTATAAGATTATTATCACCTCTTGAATCACTTTCTGACAAATCGACTTACTTTTTGAGGTGGTTGTTAGTGTGTTTAAAGACATTAAAAAAAAGGTGATATAATCGAAGTAATCTATAAGAAATTCAAAACTTAACACTCGGAATACGTGATCAAAATGGGCTACAGGTTGCCGAAAAATATAACTCTCTACCTTTGGCAACACTTCGTATGCTTTCACCATTAGCGTGTGGAGAGTCATAGGAGTAGGAAGTACGTTAGCTTCTTTCTTGATTTTCAAATAGATTAAAAACTTTTAAGTTAGAAAATTATATGGAACTGACAACTACATTGAACATAATTCCAAAAGAAAGCGTCGTGGAGATTTTTAAATAATATTTTTGGCAAGTAAATACGAAAAATATTAAGAAAGGGGGGAATATGGCAGTACATTTCTATACTACTGAGAAGAGGAGGAGAAGGAAGGGATCAAGCCATGGAGCCGGTCTTCTCCCCAGGTGGCGTAATCGAGCATTGCGATAGCAAATACGAAAATATTTTAAATTTCTGAAATTTTTTGTTGGATAAAAATATTATAAATAATCCAAAAACGCAGTAAATGAAAGACACCGTACTTTTTCAAGTTCAGTCGTGACTTTCTCTAACAGCTGTTATGTATGAGGAATAATATTTCGGTCACTACAAGTTTAGAAATTATTTCTTTTCACAAATTTTTCTACGCAAGTGAATTTTTATCAGCCAAAATATTATGCGTTTTAAAAAAATACCTCTCTGACGGGTTGGTTTTGAAGAAAAAAATGTCTAAAAAAAACGCAACAATGAAACATCTTTATTCAACAGTTCTTTTATTTAACAATTCCATAATATGTCAACTAGCATTTTGACACTTACGTTACGGCCTTCTACTATAATCTATATTGAACCTTTTTTATTTTGAAATTCTTACCAAATTCATTAGTTCAATCAAGTTATTTTCCTATTGAGCGACTATCTCTTGATAACTGCAGAAAATATGAAATGAAAATATCACATAAATGTCGGTAAAGTAGGGAGAGAAAGCAATACTGGGGGAGCTATTTCCTCTGATGCATTCTGTTATTATTACCACTCTTATATCAACTTGCCATCGTGTATGTCTGTTCGGGTGGAATTTTGTAATCGATTTTAAACCAACTTCCCGACTAGCTACAGACTTCAAATTTGGCACCAGAACTGGATGACAATGCACGAAAATGAAGAGAAAAAAAGGCATACAAAGTAAATTAAAATTAAAGAAAAATTAATATTTTCGCTATTGTCTTCTGTTGTCGATTCGATTATTTCAAATAAGTGCCACAAGTCAGTTGAAAAGTTTTGTGTACAGTGAGTGAAAAAATTGAGATTTTGGAAGTGAGTACAAAAAAAAATCAAAATGAAAATAATATTTTTGAAAAACACGTTTTTGTAGTGGAGAATAATAGTTAAAAAACAAAAATTCGAAAAACGAAAAACGCGGGGCGCATGAAATACATAACAGTACATATACATATACACATTTTCTTACTCATACACACGCACAACCACATACACATACATTTACAGATATACATAAACATATTCTCATGAGCACACATACTGTTACTGTTATGTATTTCATGCCTCCCACGTTTTTCGTTTTTTAATTATTATTCTCCACTACAAAAACGTGGTTTTTAAGAATAAAATTTTTTCGTTGTTGTTATAAACGTAGAATTTATAAAATCAGTTTCATATAAGCACAGAAGCTCAATGCATTACACTAAATAAAATTTTAAAAACTCAACCTTTCCATTAAAAAATATGTGTTCAAAATCATATTCCTTTTAAACAATAAGTTAAATGAATTTTTTTTATTTTTAATAAACCAATCTGAATCCCAAAAATATTTTAACTTAGTACTATTAAAAAGTGACCCTATAATGGATAAGAATACACTTAAAATATATGCCAACAATTCAAATCAATTTACCTTTGATAATGCACACCAATAAAATCCAAATCTTTCTGCTCTTCTTTAATAACTACTTCTGTTTCGAAAAATACGAGTGTAAACGTTGTTATAAATTAAAACTGCTTTTTCTTTTCCCCATTCACGAATTCGACTACTTTGTCTTAAAAGATAATACTGAAGAATAGAAACTTACATATACCACAGTTGATAAAAACTTTATATTTACAATCCCCCATATCTCCAAAACAGGTAATTTTTCTTCTTTTTTTTTTAGTTCATTATGTAATCATACATAGAATAAATTATTTCAGATCGTCTCCCATTTATTTTAATATATATATATTTAATTTATATACGTATATATATAAGTTCAAAATGAAGATAAAACAAAGGAAAATTATAGAAATATGAAAAAGGGGGGGGAATAATAATTAAGAAAATAACAAACAACTGATTAAAAAAAAAGGATGATTTTTTTTTAAAGACCTGAAGAAAAGAAAAGATATAATCTTTTCATCAGCCCACACGATTATATCCGCAAAAAAGAGTGCTTTCTGATATTGTATCAATATAGCCAAAGCAAAATATATTAATACAATAGTGTGAGGAGCACTCAAAAATTTTTT